CTTTTCTCACTATCTCATGATAAGCTTCTGAACAAAGCAGTGTTACGTCTTTCTAACTTGTTCATGCTATGCGTCTGAAACAGTGTTAAACTTTTCTCACTATCTCATGATGAGCTTCTGAACAAAGCAGTGTTACGTCTTTCTAACTAGTTCATGATATGCGTCTGAAACAAACAGTGTTAAACTTTTCTCACTATCTCATGATAAGCTTCTGAACAAAGCAGTGTTACGTCTTTCTAACGATTTCATGATATGCGTCTGAAACAAACAGTGTAAACTTTTCTCACTATCTCATGATAAACTTTTGAACAAAGCAGTGTTACGTCTTTCTAACTAATTCATGATATGCGTCTGAAACAAACAGTGTTAAACCTTTCTCACTATCTCATGATAAGCTTCTGAACAAAGCAGTGTTTCGTCTTTCTAACTAATTCAAGATATGCGTCTGAAACAAACAGTGTTAAACCTTTCTCACTATCTCATGATAAACTATTGAACAAAGCAGTGTTACGTCTTTCTAACTATTTCATCATATGCTTCTGAAACAAACAGTGTTAAACTTTTCTCACTATCTCATGATAAGCTTCTGAACAAAGCAGTGTTACGTCTTTCTAACTTGTTCATGCTATGCGTCTGAAACAGTGTTAAACTTTTCTCACTATCTCATGATGAGCTTCTGAACAAAGCAGTGTTACGTCTTTCTAACTAGTTCATGATATGCGTCTGAAACAAACAGTGTTAAACTTTTCTCACTATCTCATGATAAGCTTCTGAACAAAGCAGTGTTACGTCTTTCTAACGATTTCATGATATGCGTCTGAAACAAACAGTGTTAAACTTTTCTCACTATCTCATGATAAGCTTCTGAACAAAGCAGTGTTTCGTCTTTCTAACTAATTCAAGATATGCGTCTGAAACAAACAGTGTTAAACCTTTCTCACTATCTCATGATAAGCTTCTGAACAAAGCAGTGTTACGTCTTTCTAACTAATTCATGATATGCGTCTGAAACAAACAGTGTTAAACCTTTCTCACTATCTCATGATAAGCTTCTGAACAAAGCAGTGTTACGTCTTTCTAACTAATTCATGATATGCGTCTGAAACAGACAGTGTCAAACGTTTCTCACTATCTCATGATAAGCTTCTGAACAAAGCAGTGTTACGTCTTTCTAACTAATTCATGATATGCGTCTGAAACAGACAGTGTCAAACGTTTCTCACTATCTCATGATAAGCTTCTGAACAAAGCAGTGTTACGTCTTTCTAACTATTTCATGATATGCTTCTGAAACAGACAGTGTTAAACCTTTCTCACTATCTCAAGATAAGCTTCTGAACAAAGCAGTGTTACGTCTTTCTAACGATTTCATGATATGCTTCTGAAACAAACAGTGTCAAACGTTTCCTACTATTTCATGATATGCTTCTGAAAAAACCCAGTGTTACATGTTTCTCGTTGTGTCATGATATGCTTCTGAACAAAGCAGTGTTACACCTTTTTCAAAATCTTACATATTCCTCTTTCCAAAGCGGTGCCTCAGTTCTTTGTGATTTATGGTCTATTTCTATGATTGGCCAATTCCTGTCCCAAAAATGTAAATCTGGCTTTAAATTATAATATGTAATAATTATCTTGAATAAGTACTGTATTGATAAAAATAAAAATATATTACTATGCTTGGCTGTTGGGGAATGTATCAGTTACGCTGATAATTTTCATAATGACTTATAAACAAAGAGGTTGGACGGTCGAAGCGTGGACAAGGCGACTGTGTTTTTGTCGTCAGTGAGAGAGTAGGATGTGGTCCAGAACTTGGGTGTTTGTGGCTGGATGAGTGAACATGTTATTGTGTAGTCTGGTTATGGTGAGCTTAGCGCGCGGACGTCGTAGAAGAATTACGAACCCGATGGGGCATAGGAACTGTTACTGTGGTGGGTTGTGTAAGTTTCGGGTTATGGTTTGTCATGTATAATTTTGTCTGGAAATGGTGGATGTCTGATAAGTTTAAGCCTATGTTTGTGTATTAAATGAGGACTTGGGTTAGATGTTTGGCTAGTGAAGGGTGTGTTTGCAGTTTTTTAGTGTTGCTTGTTAATGTGTTTTGTTTGTTGATATTGATCGGAACGTGGGAAAGTGTTGATCCCCAGTCCAGCGACTGAGACTGATCTGAAGGAACCCATACCTGCTCTCATACATTTTGACATGATGTGACCCAGTTATACGGGGTGCCAATGTCAAGTGTTGGTCAAATGTGACTCCAATGAATTTTGCTTCTTTTGCAATAAGATTTGGTTATTATTGAAGTGGTGTTTGGGGGTATAATTTGCCATATAAACTAACGCCCAAAAAGAAACTTGGCACCTAAAAAAAAATAATTGTCGACGGACAGATACTTTCACCTATAGGTAAGCAAGTCGAAGCCAATCCCCCTTGGGTTTCCTGTTTCTATAAAGAGAACTTCCAAACTATCCATTGCATCTAATATTCCAAACCTATCCACAAACAGAAAATAACCGCTGTGACAGTCCGTTTTTCAAACACTAGCATCTCTACGAACCACTTAGTCTGTCCTTCTGTCCCTGAACCGCATTATTTCCCATTCTGCCCAGCCCTTTCTGCAATGCTAAAGCCCTAAATGAAGCAAACTTAGATTTTGTCATGTTCTTAATCTTCTCCCCTCTCAATCTTTCTTTTCAGTTGATCAAACTTGTCTCCATTCAAAGACTAAGTGTTAGTCTTCCAACGACTCTGCAAGAAATATACAACCTAATAAGCACAATCACACCTCACTATTACCAATCACTAACCTTACATGAACTACAAACAGCACTGCAAACAAATACAGTCTGAGTCACAAGAATTGATATAATATGTTATATCAAACCAGATTAATTAAACAACTTTCCTTTAATGAAATCGTTGATGTTTAGAATTATTACCTTTCAATCGCAATTTCCCAAAGTAAGCTGAATTCCCCAAATAGGTTGTCGGAGTGACATCATGCTCAAAATATCGACACACCCTGGTTGTGGAGTTGTACAGAATGCCAGCACACTGATCCTCACGGAGACATTGCAGTACACAATCCAGAACATCCACATCAGCCGAGAGCGCCATGGATGAGGCGGTGGTCGGCTTGTTTTCCATTACAACGCCCCGACGAACAAGTATGACTTCATCATTTAAACAAGTACAAGAACATATCAGAGACGATAAGATTGTGAAGAGATACATAGCCCTGGAATATATACACATAACTGAACTTTCTAAAAGTATGATATGTAAAATCTATATTCCAAAATAACAAAGTTTGATGTTCCTGAGATTTCTGCCTTGGTCAGTTTCTTCCCTCGTACTCATGCACTTTCCCCGACACGGTCTTATATACGACACTGCTGATCAATACTTTACCTTAACGCTGGTTTAGCTAAAAACAATGTGTATCATGGCAAGTATTGACAGGGTTGGAGAAACCGAACGCAACAATGATTCATGCACAACAGTCAGTCGTGGTCCAGCCTGTATGTAAACAGTAACATATATTTGACCTTCACTTGAGCTGTAGAAGCATTTATATCGCTGAAAGAAGATTGTGTACCTGTCATTAATTGTTCATATTAACCTTAAACATATATAACCGATGCGGGTTTTCTCGTCATTGTAAACTTGTCGATGTGTGTTAATGTGTCATCATTAAAAGAGTACCCTTTTCGCGAATACCTGGTGTCATCACTGATTTTAAGTGACCCATTCATTAAATCTCCACAGATATTTTCCTTTTACAGTAAACAGTATTTGTTTCTGAGGATAGTCAAACCTGGGTATTCTTTTGAATGACGTTCTGAAGTAACAAACCAATCGGGATACTGGTCAAAAGCACTTGTGAAAGAAATGTCATCTTTTACAACTTATTTCTTTCAGGAAAACTAATAGTTGGAAAATTAAAGTTCCCACTGAGGCACTTATAGGTACTTACATACACACGCGCACATAATACACCATGAAGTAATGCCATGTCTACCATGTCCTACTCGTCCGACGATAAGCACCAAGCTGTGACAAATAGTTCCAGTTTGTCCCCACTTGTAAATGACTATGGATACAATTCAATACTTCAATGATCCCCCACGACCTTATTTTGACTGAGATGCCGCCATTAGAGAATAATATGATTAGTCTCGAGTTTCATTTTCTATCCTGTTTTCTTGCAATTCAAGTAACGCTTAAATAAAGCATGTTACTTAACATTTAATTGCCGTTTTTAAAAGTATGTAACTGTTGTATAGAACTGTTGCATTATAGGCTATTTATTACTGATCAAATAAAAAAATCAAGAAAGGTTAATTTCTGGCAAATTTAAGCCGACATTGCTCCAAATGGGGACCACTTAATAACCAGTGTCAACATGTCTCAAAAGTGTTAGCACGTCTTACAAGAACATCATAATTATATATATATATATATAAATCCGTTACGAAATATCAATTCTTGTTCCATGTAAATATTTCAGAAGTTATCTCAGTGCTTTCGAATTCATCCAACCGTTATTGGTAGAATAAATGTTCTATTTGTTAATATAATGATGAACATATAATACATTAGGTATCCTCCATAGTTTGTCATAACGCCTTTATACATGTTGGAATCTGTATATTAATACGTATTTGACCCTATTGCCTTTATACGTAATGAAGATTTGCTGAGCAGTAAGAAAGAACATATAATGAAAGTACGTAAACATTCTTTCTTTTCTGCTTCTAAAAGTATATATACTTTTATCAAATGTGTTTATACATTCAATGTTAATTATTTTTCAATGTCTTGTGCGTCAGTCTCCCGACAGCATGTACTTCATGTTAAGTGCACATGTTGGAAAACAGCCACTCAGGTTCGCCCTTCCTCAGAACGGAGCACTCGGTGTCCCAGTGTACCGACCAGGCCTGACTCAGCCAGCGGAACACAGACCCTGGTCGACGTTACATCAAAGCCTCGGGGTGGCGGGGGAGGGACGGCACGTTGATAGTAAGGAGCTGAGGGTTAGTGGTAGAAGGTGCTTTGTTGTTGTAGGAAGAATGGGAGTGTCGCTCTCTGCCTGGTATATCAACACTGGAAAGAAATATTTACTGCTGGTAAGTAAATATCGTTATTATAATCTTCATTCGAATAACGTGTTCTTAATGCGGTGATATGTATGGGTATTCTTGAACAATGCACACGTCGTGATGACCATATAGCTGCGATTCAAGTAAATGTAAAGTATTGTATGTGAACATGAATGTGACATCTGGACATATATCTTGTTAGAAGGTTGTGATAGTAATAAGGTGAGATTTGACGCAGCGTGGAAATGCATATGGTTAGTGAAATGAAAGCGACAAAACCATTTCAGTGATCTTCAGAAATAGCTGCTGAATCCATTGTATATATCATGAGTGTATACGTTTCACAGCCCCATTATAACTATCAGATGAGGCAATCTGACACAGACTGACCATGTAGGGTTAGAACACAATGCCCCCATGGGCAGACACGATGATATGTAGTATGCTGCTCACTGAGCGCCCCACATCCTGTAATTCCACTTCATGGGCCGAGGTTGATCCCTGTCCTGTGAATCTGTGTTTCGTTCGTTTCAATGTCTGCTACATAATGACAATTCAAATGCAATCCATTGCATGTGATGACAAACGGTATATATAAAGCACGTGTACATGTAAAATATTCACACAAGGTTCAGGTCTGGGCTTTTTCTTATGCGGTCCATCTCACGATTACAGGGGCAACACTTTCCTCCTCCCCCCTCTTCCTCCATCCTCTCCCCCTCTCTCTCTCTCTCACGCACACACACATACACACATACTCTCTCACACAGTTTCTATGTCACAGCGTGCCCATTAGAGTACTATATACATTAAAACCTAAAATCACAAACATTCGTTAAAACCTATGGACGGGAAAGCTCTCCCTGCGGCCCACCAACAGACGATGTTATGTACATTGTAGTTCTTCCGTTACCGTCATTACCACGGTGTGGTCAGTCAAGTTGAGAGAACCAGTTACAGGTGATGATCAAAGCCCAGTCAGAGGTCACTACGGTCACTTGATACTCCACAACGTGTCAGAAGGCACATAGCGATAATTAGACAAATATGACCGTCCGATGACCGACATGCTTCGCTGCGTTTCCACTAGTATAGGTACAGGGTGTAGATGGAACCTGTGTGAAACATGAAGTAGCCTCTATGACCCAAACTGTCTAGAGAAGATAAAAAGTATAATAATACATACTCATCTAACGATATACAACATATAACTAAATAATCATCTACATACAAATATGGGGCGTGTTGCAGAGCGTACTTGATCAGATATACTCTGTAGACAGTATTTGACAAATGAGATTATTGAATTGTCCATATACAAATTACGCATATGCTAAATGTTACATTGTGGTTTGTAAGAGTGACATGGATGCATGCAAAACACGATTACCCTATTAAGTGTGTCTCCCACGCTTTCCAAGCTGATGGGGTTGTTTAAAATATATCAATATGTCGATAGTTGTAAGAATCCCTTACAAAGAGTAAAGTGTGCGACCATGAATAACAATCAAACACCAGTGTTTTTAGGGCTAGATAGACCCAATGTTGTCGTCAACTCCAAATACATGCAAAGGAATGTCAACTGTTCACTTGAAATGTATGGTTTTATCGGGTTCCTTTACAAACCTGTACTCAAAACAGGCATTATAATCATTGACAAACCATAATAGAAGCTGAGCAAGTTTTGAAGCCGTGTGACAGGGGCAGTGCGGTAGTCCAGTGAATAAAGCGCTCGTGGTCACAAGTAATGATTGGGTAGGATTCCATCCATGGGTGCAATGTGTGGAGCACGTTTCTGGCGTCCCACGCACTGATATTACAGGAATATTGCGATAATCCAATTCCAACTCCAAATCTACCTCACTCACCCACTCGGACCTTGGTGCAGTAAGCTGTTTGTAACAATGTAAGAAAACAAGGAATAGCTTCTTGACATGACAGTAAGTGAGGTATGGGGACAATGTGTTAAGTCCATTCATTGGTGTCCCCGGCCGTGATATTGCTGGAATATTGCTAAACAGCGGCAAAACCCCCAACTCACTTACTCTCACTCACTCAGTAAGTGAGGAATAACTCCTATTTGAGCTGTTATTCAATTATAAATAAGCACGAACTTGGGTTCGAACACATGATTTTCCAGCACGCGTACGTGAGACTAATTGTCCCATGCATGTCCCTTGCACATAGGAGAACTTTCAAAAAAATATACTTGATGTAATGGTGAGTACGTGCCTGAGTGCGTTTGTGCGTGCGTGTGAATCGATATATGCGCCTATCCAAAAAACACCATTTCAGATTGTTGTTGTAGCCAAACGTCGAAATTACACAACTGCACTCACATAGAACCCTCTCAATTGCCTCAGCCTGTTGTCAAAGGACGTACATTTTCTCAGAACCTGTTCAAATTCATTCGGATCATGTCAGGGCAAGGCATGTTCTCGTAGATATAAACATTCCGGCACATAACAACGAGCATATATTCCCTTCGCTCCTTGTCAAGTTCCTTCAGATTTCTGTTTTTCACACTGGCATTTGCAGATTCATACAGGCGATGTGTTATCCTTGGTGCCAGTTTCGGCGCAACCTGTGTGTGACGCCCTTATCAAATGTTGCGTGTGTTGTACACTGATGGGCTTTAGGAATGCTGTTATATACTGGCTGCACCACGCAGACTGAGATCATGGGAGTAAAGTTAGCCTCAATGAGAATCAATTGGTGTTAGGAGCAATAGTATCATTGATAGCGGATCATCCCATGAGAAGCCATACATCAACGATAAGCTGGAGTTATAGCATGCTCAACTATAAACCCCTCCCACAGTGAAATCAATGCTAATGGTGGGTCCATATTGCGATATTGTCTGACGAAAAAGCATTTGTCTCTGGACAAGTGTTAAATACTAATGATGCTCGTGTTCGAGAAAACGTAAACGGATCCATATATGGGCTTACATATGACATATCTAAATTACTTGTAGTTTGAAAAGACGGTATAGCGTTGTGGTGACGTTGAGCATTCCATGATTATTTTCTTAGAGACGTGTATCCACGTGCATGTGTGTGTGTGTGTGTGCGTGCGCGCGCGACGCAGCAGTGGATACTCCTCCCAGATAAAGTGTACTGACACCGAGCAGAGTAATCCTTCATTTAACCCCTTCGTTCCAAGCAGAGAAACAAATCCCCTACGAACAGTCTTTTCATGAATTTCACGGGAGTTAAATCCAGTTTGGAATGTCTGAAATGGACAAATTTACATTAAAAACGTACATTAAAAAATGTACTAATATATGACTAATCCTGTTTATCATATATTTCTAACCTCGAGGCCCAACTTATCCAGTTCATCCTCAGTCACATTATTTAAAATATATACAATCCAAACATTTCTTTTAAGAAGTTTTCTTAGCTGTGATTTGTTCTGCCTATTACACTTGATCTCCTTCTATGTGAAAGTGTGAATCGGACAGATATATGTGTCCTTGTTTGAACATCTGTGTTACATCTGTGAACCACCTGTGTTACAGGTTTTCAAAAGGAATAGACTGAAAATACCCCCCGTTAGATCTGAGGAAGTAGGTCTAATTTGACACTAACTGGATGGCGTATACCAACCTGTGCACAGTCGGAGATCTCAGCCGTGTGGGTGACCCATTTCCTGTGAATCCGGAAGTGAAACGATTCTGGTATTTCCCCAAGAGGGAAAACATTTCCCGCATGTGTGTAATTACTCAACATGTGTTACCTCCCTAACACGGAATCTCTTTGTCCAAGGTGTTTATACGTAGGGTGGACGTAATTGACTTTCCCGGTCAAGTTCAAGCAACACTTGCTTCATTCAAGCTTGAATTAGCATCATCCGCTTTTGGTAAGTGGGGCACCTTGAATCATTACTGGATTACGTCAAGGCCGCTTTGGGTAAATGTGTGCTTGTGTGTGTGTATGAGCAAGTGTATGGTCAAACCTAGGTGAGTGTTGGCATGTTGAGGTGAAATAAAATGAATTTGGTATTTCACCAGTTCTTGGGATTAATATGATCATTTGTTAATGTGGGTGATTTGGGGATGGGAATGTACTGATTGTATACATGTATACATATGGGTATCCTTTAATGATAAGAAGAAGTAGAATATCTACAATATTATATCAGTTAAACTGGCCTTGCACGATCACTGTTTACTGTTTCTATGGGGTGAGTGAGTTTAGTTTTACGCCGCACTGAGCAATATTCCAGCTATATGGCGGCGGTCTGTAAATAATCGAGTCAGGACCAGACAATCCGGTGATCAACAACGATCTGCGCAATTAGGAACCAATTCTAGCCCGGACCTTCAGGGGTCTACAGTTTCTATGGAAAGATGTATGTATGTATGTATGTATGTATGTATGTATGTATGTATGTATGTATGTATGTATGTATGTATGTATGTATGTATGTATGTATGTATGTATGTATGTATGTATGTATGTATGTATGTATGTATGTATGTATGTATGTACACCTTATGTGACACTTCTTAATAAAGTATTCAATTCTTCTATTCTGTAACGCATCCGGTGATAAGTTTAATTAAAGCGGACTGTTGTAATAGCCTACAGTCTTTAAAGACGTTGTTTATAACACACGGCATATAAATTAAAAGCTTATTTCTGATACATGCATATGTTCAAAAGTATAAAGTCATGTATGTCAAGTATTCAAATTACGGAAAACATGTTTAAAAATCGCTTTATCGTGTTACACCACGCCACTCCACCACTCAAGATCATTGTCATCACTGTCATCACTGTCACCACCATCAATAGCAGTCTACCATATTCTCCCGTCGCTAGTGAGTTCGGCTTGTAGTTAAAGCAAGGAACCTGTTTCGATTCCCAAACTTGGTGCAATGTGTCAAGCCACTTTCTGGTTCCCTTCTCAGTGACAGTCTTGCAGACAAAAACCATATAATGAGTAAAACATTTACCCCTGTTCAATTCTTTTGCCTTTGGAACATCATACTGGTCCCCTCCTTTAGAACTGTTGGCGAAATTGAAGGATTGGAGGGTTCATTTACTGGATTAAATAATTTATTATTTACACAAGATTTTTGACGAGTCAACAGTATGTTAAATAAAGAGGTATAACATTTGTGTTAACATTTTTGTCACGTCTAGCTCTATGAAATATTATTATGATGTTTCACCATTACAAGGTAGAGCAAACATTTAGCTTATGTTACAAGATGTAAACCATGAACCGGGCTATGTTGTGTTTCATGTTTCAGATGCTGTGGACGGCAGGATGCGCGGTGCTGTTCTGGAGAACCTACTACTACTTCAAGTATGACCCAGGCTTCTATTACGTCCATCGAATGTTAGGGGTACGTTATGCTCTGTTACACCTCTATATAACAGCAACTCCTAAGTCCAGACACCTCACCTTAAGAACCTTACTTCAACGCCTAATGACAGTGTTCAGCTTCGTTATTTATGGCCTATAAATATCGCTTCTTGTATTATATACTGCCCGTTATTAGGTAACGATGGATTAAAGGTTTAAGAAAAACCTGTTTTTAATCACATGGTGCATCACTGCTTTTCAGTTTTCCATTCATATAACTTCCACTGCCATTGGAATGGAATGGAATAACTATCGTTGGCATTTTCTATTATGATCAGCGTCTGCATGATATCAATACATTATGTTCGTTCTGATATAATGTCGGGTGTCATGTAGAGAAGGAGCCAAGTGTTTGTGTTATCTGCCTCGGAACGATGTCGATGGGTTTCACGGAATGGGATGCTTGGCATTTGGGAATATGACACACACCACACCAAAGCGTGCACAGGATATTTATAAAAGGTTCCTCATAACCTTCCTCCGTGTAAACAAACTGAGTTATGTCTGTACATACCGCTGCACCCCTCTCTGTGAATCACCTGGAATGACTACAGTTGCCGGACGAAGATACGCGGCGTGTGTAACGCGTGTTGGTTACAGTCGGGAAGGTTATATATGATTTCTTTATGATTACAAAATGTAATACGATAAACACGTCTATATGTATGCAGACACCTGTTCGCTTGAACTGTGATAACACGTTGTATCGTTAAAGACTGTGCAAGGTTAAAGTCACTGTTAGTCGATTCGCTTGAACTGTGATAACACGTTGTATCGTTAAAGACTGTGCATGGGTAAAGTCATTGTGAGTCGATTCTTGTTTACCTTTATGCTAACGTTTTAATCCAATAAATCGACACATCGGGTATGTCGACTTGATGAGCGTACCTTTATGTCATATATTGTACTGTTTCGTTGCATTTCTAATACGTAAGAGGGGACTAACGGGATCGGGTGGTCAGGCTCGCTGACTTTGTTGACATATGCATGGATCGATGCTCATGCTGTTGATCATTGGATTGTCTGGTCAAGACTCGATTATTTACCGACAACCCATAACAACAAACCACCTATAAGTGGCCGGACTAGAGGTTACAGGAACAGTTTACCAAGGATGGTACTCCTGTTTCAGCCATGGCTCTGCATCTCGCGTGGCTCTGCCGCCGTCCTCAACCTCAACTGTGGCTTCGTTCTGCTGCCCATGTGTCGATCCCTTCTTACGTTACTGCGTCGACTCAACAGGAAGGTAAGCATGCCATTAAGTATGAGTCACGCTTCATGATACGATGGTTCATCCTCCTGCAAACTATATCGTCAATACCTTGTTGACACGGTAATGTTCGTAGGATAGGCAGGAAGCAAAACTCATAAGAAAGTTTTTGTAAATTTATTTAACATTACGTAATGATGTGTTGATGTCAAAACATATCCTCGCCTTTAACATTGATCGTGTTCTCTTGTTTGGGAATCTGCCACGTTAATGGCTTTATTTCTACCTGTGAAGATCCCTAATAGAATTGGTCGTAGACAGCCCATGCTTGTCATAAGAGGATACTAACGGGACCGGGTGGTCACATTTCATCGTGTCCCAACTGCGTAGATCGATACTCATCATGTTGATCACTGGATTATCTGGTCCAGACTCGATCATTTGCAGATAGCTACCATATACCTAGAATAGTTCTGGGTGCGGCGTTAAACAAAAAACTATTATTTTATTTCAGATATCTGTGGAAACCATGCGCCTGGTCCTAGACACATGCAAGGGTTTTCATATAACATGCGCCTTCTTCATATGTATAAATGCAGGTAAAGTAATGCATTACAGAAACGAAGAAGTGCATACTTAATTGTATCTCTACAACGTATTGCAAATCATGTAAACATATATGAATAAACACGTTAATTTCGTAATTAAAACCTGAGTGGGGACTATATATGAGCAGTACATTGTACTATTGTATAGATCCTGTTAATCCGAATATCACCAGGTTTAACTGATTTGTGGATTAACGATTCCTGAGCACGTAGCATCGGCCCATGACTGTGTAACTGTCTGGGGGATAAGGTTCGTAAGCCACTGGTTTAGGACTATCGAGATTTCACTCTCTGTTTCAGTTATTCATTTTGTCGCTCACATGTTCAACGCCAGGAACTTCTCTCAGTTCTACAACACGGCCATTCCAGGTGTCAACGGTGCACATTTCTCAAACCAGGTAATATCTCGAATATCTTGAACATCTCGACACAGAACGACTACACAGTTGGTCTGTCTTTTGTCTTTTGACAGGGACATCATGATTCGAATCCATTCTGTTAATGATCCTCCGTTTGTCAATAGGTAATGTCGTTAACATGGGATCGTGTACTTAGACACGACAATCACGGGTATTTGGGAGTCAGTAGCCTTGGGTCGCATCAGAAAAACTCGAACCTGAACCGCCCAAACATGATATAGGAAGAACAGCCTTTTGCGAATTTCGGTTGAATGATTCGGCTCCGTTTTTTTCACACCAACGACAGTGGGATTTCAGTTTGACCGCTAGAAACCCCCGACAGAACACTGACATTCCTCCTCACTGCGCGACAGGGTGTGTAACATATCCTCTACGATATCACTGCGCGACAGGGTGTGAAAATACCCGTGAAGGTCCGGGTTAGAATATTGATCTTCAGTAACCCATGCTTGCCGTAAGAGGCGACTAACGGGATCGGGTGGTCAGGCTCGCTGACTTGGTTGACACATTTCATCGATTCCCAATTGCGCAGATTGATGCTCATGATGTTGATCACTGGATTGTGTGGTCCAGACTCGATAATTTACAGACCGCCGCCATATAGCTGGAATATTGCTGAGTGCGGCTTAAAACTAAACTACTCACTCACTCAGGGTGTGTAATATATCCTCCTCGATATCACTGCGCGACATTTATCGTCTACAATTTTGCGAGATTAACTGGACGAGATATAGAAATCAGATATATAGATCTAGATGGTTCGTTCATTCCAACCGAGACTACAGAGCCTCGACGCTCATTGGCTGATCAGAAGGTTCAGCTGAAGCTACCGTCTCAGAAGACGTCATACTGGGGGATGTCATATCAAAGAAAACCACATTCTAATTAGACTGAAGGGTGAACTTAACGGTAAACGTCAACAGTCATGTTTCTTCTGTCATTTGCTCCTCTCTTTTAGAGATATTGAACACAAAACATCGATACCCAGCATGGGTTAATGGTTGAAACCCATTCTTGATAGACCCCGCCGTGATATCTCACATGTTGATTGCAAAATACGTTGCCACCATTTGTATATGGTTCAGTTATTACTTGTGACCTTGTCTTAATTCACTAATGTAACTAGACCTGGGTTTTTTAATCCAAAAATATATATCTTGAAATGGGTGATATGATATATTTGTGTGTTTGCAGGATCCTCTTCTTGTTGCCATAACAACAGGTAATTTATGAATTGTTTCCTTCTGTATCTTTTCTTAATTCTTAATCTTTACACTATGTACTTGAAATTGTAAATTAAACAGATCAATACTTTGCGTTTTAATTGTAGAATACATAATAACGGAATCTTGCTCATAGTATCGTCTAATGGTCTGTCTGGTCCAGGTTTGATTAGTTACTCCTTCAACTGGCTGGAATATTGTTGAGTAGAACAGTGAGTGAGCGAGTTTAGCTTTACGCCACACTCAGTAATATTCCAGCCATAAGGCGGCGGTCTGTAAATAATCGAGTCTGGACCACACAATCCAGTGATTGTTGAGTAGAACAGACCGACAAAATCTCATCACTTTAACTAAAAACGGGATCTCACTGTTGCAGTTCCAGGAATCACGGGGATGTTGATGATGATGATTCTGATAATGATTGTAACATCAAGTTTCCGTTACATGAGGTGAGAACCGTAAAGGTAGTGATGTCTGTGGATGATGTTCGAGCGAGTGAGTGAGTGAGTTTAGTTTTACACCGTACTCAGCGATATTCCAGCTATATGGTGACGGTCTGTAAATAATCGAGTCAGGACCAGACAATCCAGTGATCAACAGCATGAGCATCGATCTACGCAATTGGGATACGATGACACGTGCCAACCGAGTCAGCGAGCCTGACCACCCGATCCCGTTAGTCGCATCTTCCGACAAACATGGGTTACTGAAGATCAATTCTAACCCGGATCTTCACGGGTTGATATTCGAGTGAGGACGTGGACACTGTTTTGATCAGCGGATGGTTGATTGCGGTTGAAAACCTATTTACGTCTAAAAATGTAGACAGATGAAATTGTTGGATCTGGTCACATATACTGAGAAAAACAAATAAAAACACATGAAAATTCAAGCGTTCCTTTAATTTTCCAGTTTTCATCACCAGCTCTGAATAGTTCTGTAGGAGGAAATCCGAGGGTAAATAAAGGAACACTGCCATGAAGTGGTGTTCCCTTATTTGTTTCGCTCAGTATGTATTGCACAGTGAGGCAATCGGCAAACTACAGGCTCACAAAACTTAACTGTTAACCGGAATAAGGCGTGATCGTCTCGCTCACAATGCTTGATAGTGTATATATACGATTTATCAACCGGGAACGGAGATAATGTTATTGTTATGCTTTAATATTCAACCAGTGGGCCTACCACGTGCCCTGGACGTACAGTGGGCCTACCACGTGCCCTGGACGTACAGTGGGCCTACCACGTGCCCTGGACTTCACGAGCATTCCTAACTGATTCTTCACGTTTACCATTTAGTTTGAATATATGCGTGTGTTTGGTTGTAACAAAGTAAATGCCCAACTTTCCTGTTTATTATATAGTTTGTCGCATGTTTGTTCCAGGGACACCAACTACGACCTGTTCTGGTACACTCACAGACTTATCGTTATATTCTACATCCTCCTGCTCATACACGCCTTAAGGTGAGTGACGTATTAGGGGCTTGGGTGAGTGAGTGGGTGTGGTTTAACGCCGGTTTGAGCAGTTCTTTGTCACCTTGATGTGGGGAAAGTAATGACAGTCTTACATGTCTTACATTTCGGTGAAGCTGACGGTACGGCGGATCCGGGTTAGAATTGGTCTTCAGCAATCCATGCTCGTAAGGGGCGACACGGTGGGCCGGGTGGTCAAGCTAGCTATTCTCGAAACGTTCATAGCCCTACGAACTTCTTTAACCCATTCTTACACATTGGCTACGATCAAAATTAAGAATTCTTAGAGCTACGAACGTTTGGAGAATAAGGGCCCAGACTCGCACACCTGGTTGACACATGTCATCGTATACAAATTGTGTACATCCATGCTCATGATATTGATCACGGGATTGTCAAGGCTCGATTATTTACAGAACGCCGTCATACAACTGGAATATTTCTGGGTTGTATTTTACTACGACCTTTTTAATGATGTAATTGATTTCTTTAATGCAGTGACATTGGATCAAAGGCAGTTATATTATTTTCAATGATGTGATTATGCATGGTTATACTTGTTGTTATAATTTCATAGTAACTTATTTGTTTTCACTATTTGTTATTTGCCGTATTCTACTTGATACAAAGCATGGTTATTGTATTATTATGATTTATCTCTGTTATAGGGGCGGTGGGGTAGCCTTGTGGTTAAAGCGTTCGCTCGACACGCTGAACACCCGGGTTCGATTCCCTACATGGGTACAATGTGTGAAGCCCATTTCTGATGTCCCCCGCCGTGATATTGCTGGGATATATAGCAAAAAGCGGCGTAAAACTAAACTCACTCACTCATCTCTTTTATAACTCTGTTATCAGGGGACCGATACGGAAGCAGGTCAACATTCCCGCTCACACACCCGGATGTAACGATACTTTGAAAATGCCAATGGCTGAACCGGAACCGGAACCAGAATATTCATTCCACTCCTACCGGTGTCAGGAGGAACCAAAGTTTGACAGTATTGGTTGCCAGGTGCGTCATCAAGTTAGGTACAGTTTTGTTATTATTGTATCTCATCTAAGCCTCCAAGATCAACCTTGCGGAACATTGATTCCGGCTCACACCTACAAATCATTTGATCATTTTGTGTGATATGGTCTACAATGACCCCTTCGTTTGTCAGACAGGAGATAACAGTTATATCAGTCGTAACCAGCACAGAGGTGCAGTCCATAGGCGGATCCAGAGGGGGGGGGGGGTGCAGGGGTGCGCAAACACACAAACACACACACACACACACACACACACCGTGCTGAAAGTTTGTTAAATGACCACTGAAACTCGGGTGAAAATGAAGTGTGCATCCTTCCTTTTCTCAATAGTGTGCACCCCCCCCTTTCTCAAAAAGCTGTATCCACCCCTGCAGTCAGTTGACAGTCAAATATTGCAATGAAACCCTCTTAATCAGGACGCACCATAGTGATAATGTCCGGGAAAACAAATACTGGATTAGAGAGTCACGGCGATATTGTTATTCCGTTTGAATAGATTTTGTCGTTAACAATATTAATCCGAATTCGGGGCATTTGAATGAACGGGGCTCCGTTTAAAAAGGTTTCATTGTACTAATATCGCATATGGAATCTGTCCATGTATTCCAGTCCTGGCTGTGGATAGGCATACCGCTTCTACTCTACGTCATAGATGGTGCTTTCCGTATGAAACAAAGGGAGACGACTGTAATTGTCACGGACATAATCGAACATGATTGTGACGTCATTGAAATACATATGCAAACGGATATGCGCAAACCGTCACCAGGACAGGTAATTATACACACTATATGCAATTACTATAGCAAGTATTTTTCGTGGGTACTAACTCAGGCAACAATATGCCAATACGTTACACGTCATTCGTGATTCGTAAATTTAACTATTTCGTTATTCATATTTCGAGTTTGAATAAGTGAATAGCTAATTTTAGTAACCATCAGATTTACTCACTGTAAAATAATCACTTCTTTTGCGGTTGTATGTTTAAACAATCACTCAACAGTGATATTTGCTTAGAGAATATACTTACCTGCGAAAGAAAGTCCACATCTGTGATGTTTTACTAACACATACACAATGTTTCTTGTAAGCCAAAATCAAAGTAAATTACATGAATTACACAATAATTACGTTCTCTTTTGGAAAATGATCCCAAAGCAGCAGGTGTATACTTTCTTTTGTACGTCAGTCTAGGTTTATTTGGTTGTAACTGAGTTGCTTATAACCGAAGTGATGTTAAATGGTGTTGAGTACTGATGATCTTTCCGTGCCAAAAAGTTGTAATTTAAGTTAAATCAAATATCTATCCCTTTACATTCAGTATATATAACAATAAACATCCCAGCCATGGTTTCGTTGCAGTATGTGTTGATTCAATGTCCGAGACTGTCCGTCTTTGAATGGCATCCATACTCCATCACAAAGGTATTGTAGCTTCACGTTATCACATTAGTACTGTTGTAATACCCGTAAAGAACCATACAACTACAGACAGATAGATAGACATAATATTTTTTTGCATTGAAAATGTTTCTATCGAAATATAGCATTGTTGAAATACATTTAAATAATAGTCAGTCAACTGTACATCTTTACCAACATGTCCATCTTGCAGTGTCCAACGAGAGATCGTCCAGAAATATCCATACATATCCGAGCACATGGTGACTGGTCAGGTGAATTGGTAACTATTAATCAATATCTTGTCATTACATTATAGAATCCCCCGTGTTAAGAAACACTGTGACAATCGGCCTCTCCATCGGGACAATGTGGGTGACAAGGGCTAAGAGCAGGCTGTTTTCGTTGGTCGAATCCCATATTTTCCTGATCTTTTGTCTGTCACGCCTTACCTTAAAGTTACCTATGTGAGTAACACTAAAGACGATAACGGGTACATCCTCGGGAAGCCGGGCGGTGGGGTAGCCTAGTGGTTAAAGCTTTCGCTCGTCACGCCGAAGACCCGGGTTCGAATCCTCACATGGGTACAATGTGTGAAGCCCATTTCTGGTGTCCCCCGCCGTGATGTTGCTGGAATATTGCTAAAAGCGGCGTAAAACCAAACTCATTCAGTCAGTCCTCGGGAAGCCCAGCCCAGCCTAATCTGTGTCACAGTCCCTGAACTGCATTGTTTTACCTTCTGTCCAGCCCTTTCTGCAATGCTAAAAAATCTACATGAAGCAAGTCTAGATTTCCTCAGGTTACGGTTCTGAATCTCCCATTGCCCCGGGGCTCCTTTTCAGTTTAAAAATTAATGTTTCTATCCAAATTTAATATATTCAGAGTCTAAGCGTTAGTCTAAGTCCAACTCAGCCCAGTGCAACCCAGCTAAACTCAGTCACTGTCAGCTCACACCCAGCTCATCCTCTCCGTTACTACAATAATGACGAAAGCGTTTTAAACCCAACTCCTTCACAATCTGCATAATCATCCTTTATTACAAACTATATGGTTCACTCACTCACTCTCTGATTATGTGCTTCCCATTCATCATTAACAACCAGCCTTTAAGTAAGCTATGAATGTTTAGGGGAAGGATTCAGTTCATGTGGTTAACCCCCTATGTAGAGCTGAAGGCGGTGACGCATCATCCTCAGTCACGTGGTAGTCGTCTTGCCGCCTCACCTGTTTTGTGACAGTCTCAATTAGGGAATTAAGGTATGATGAGACGTTTGGCTGTGGCTCTCGGCACAGACTTATGTACAGGATTAGGAAAAAAGGACCGAGATATATGATCACAGAAATGGCAGATTGTATGTATTAAACCATATAACTACAATTTTCAAAATTTGAAATTTCGTATATATTTGCTTTTTGTGTTCTGTGATGTCTGCATTTTAGCATGGAATTTGTAGTGTTTATTGTTATTGTTTGTTTATATGTTGGCTTTCCACAATTATTAGAGTGAAAACACTACTGTCGTCGTCTTTTGACTGATTTCACAGTTCTTAATTCATTGAAGAGTCTTCCGTGTAAACCAGAAACCTATTGCCAGGGGTTCGAATCCCTGACCATCCCGATTAGGTTTGTAGGTTTTTTAGCACCAAACCCCAGCACATGGATGTAACCGAAATAGTAAGCGTCTAATTTATAAAGCCTCTGTCACCTCCGACATTCCTTCTACATTTACCCGTGAAGATCCGGGTTAAAATATTGATCTTCAGTAACCCATGCTTGTCGGAAGAGGCGACTAACGGGATCGGGTGGTCAGGCTCGCTGGCTTGGTTGACACATGTCATCGGTTCCCAATTGTGCAGATCGATGCTCATGCTGTTGATCACTAGATTGTCTGGTCCAGACTCGATTATTTACAGACCGCCGCCATATAGCTGGAATATTGCTGAGTGCGGCGTAAAACTAAACTCACTCACTCCTGCAACATTAAGCCAACACGTCGTAGTGTGACGGAAATACTGTTCGTTACCCCGCCCCCAAAGCAAATAGGTTATTCTTCGAAACCGACCACGATATGACTGAAACACAGCCGATGTGACTTTAAATTTTAACTCACTCACTCTCTTCTGGCTCATCGCAATCCGCCTGGCAAAAACAGATTTCCTTATCTTGTATTTTAACATTTCTGGTTCTCGAAGATCACAACAACTGTATATTTCAGAGAGATTCAGGACACATGTTCAGGATCTGCTTCACGAAGAGCGCGACGAATCTGTTGAGTCATTTGATGAAACATCTCGGTAAGACAATATCCTGCATTGATTACCCCAAGTGTTTTGTATTTTGTGTATATTATTCTGTCATCGATCTTATTAGATCGAAAAATAAATTCGGTAAAAGCATATAATTGAAACAGATATTTCCAACGAACAAGCAGGTCATACTTAGTACGTTACTGTGTAGAGGGTGGTAGAATTGTCTTGCCACCTCTTTCAATGTAATACACGAATTCTAACATGTTTAAATCTCGTACAAGGCCAGGTCGAGATGGCAGTGTCTAAATGACGATATCAGTGATATCGGTTTCACGCAGGTGATGGATTTAATGTTAAACACTGTTCAGGGTCAATGGCATGTAATTTCAGTCTTGCCGATGATACATACAAAGCAACTTGAACTAATACTCACAATATTTTAGCTTTTTACCATCAATTATGGGCCACAGTTCCACAGTGAAGCCGTACCGTGTAATACAGATACAAGATGCACAATCTCCAGGACAGATAGAAGGCTAGAGTATATACTCTCGGCCGTATTTGTTTGTTATTTAACGCCGGACGCAACAATATTCCAGTATGAGAATGGTAAATATTCGAATTTGGACCAGACATTCTGGTGACTGATATGAGCATCAATCAACGTAATTGAGATACGATGTCATGCAAAATTGAAGTCACCTGGTCCTGTTCAGACGGTGAAGATGGGTTGCTGAAGACCAATTCAAACGGGGTGGCCATTGACAGTGAGGCTGCTGATAGTACATCGTGTATTTATCCTTATCTTCATCCACAAGGATAATGATGCTCACGCATTCTTTTGTAGGTTAAAGCTGGTAGTTGATGGGCCGTTTGGAGGGCCTCTCGATACAGTCCTTCAGAGTCGGGTTGCCGTGTGTATAGCTGGTGGAATAGGAGTAACACCGTTCATAGCCGTGTTGAACCATGTCAGGTAAACAGCTGACACCATACAGATATCATGGTATGTGCCACCATTGAAAGCACTGAATATATAATATGCGATCAATCGAAGTATTGAGATGACCTGTTTCGGATCAGTCGGTGAATGTCGTAACCCCTTGACACACAAATTCCTGTGTGTATTACTTATCCTAGAATCGCCCTTACCTTGGTGTGATGGCGTCACATCCCAACTCTGGGTATCACTTGTTGCAAAAGCCCACGACCATTGTCTTATTAGAATTCAGCTGACGTGGCGAGATATATTTGTAGTAGTATTCAAAGTCACTTAAACCATCTTGACTTCATAAAAGTGTGTGAGTTGGATTTAACGCCGCTTTCAGCTGTTAGACGGAATAGCTAATGAAGAATTGGTAGAGGTGCCTACAGTGAGGCAGGTCTGAGACTATTAAAACTCTTAGAGCTCGGGTATGCTGCTGTCAGATTTAGAACCATAATCATTCCAAACTGGGATTCGAACCCACAATGTTAGTTGTGTGGCGTAATTACTTATTGCAGTAATAGATAAATGTCAGATATGGTACGCAGATGATTATTTTAACATTTACACCGCTGCTAGAAATGGTTTACACTCGATCTGTTATAATGTTATCGATGTTTTGTAATCATTGCCAATCCTCTACATATGTTCCAGGTCAAGCAAACACAAGTTAAAACCAAAACGCCTCTACCTACTATGGGTGTGTCGTTCATTACTGGAGCTCACCTGGTTCTTAGCTACCATCATATCCACCCATCAACATGTAAGTCTGTGATCTTCATATGTGTTTAACAGTGTCGTGTATATGCTTGGTATGTGCTCATCATGTCCTTTGCATAATATGACCATGTGGGCTGATCATAAAGCAATATAACCTGGCAAATACGGATGACCCAAACTTAGGTATGTGTCGGGAAAGTCCTAGTAGATGATAGGGCTGCGCAATATAACCGGTGTACCTGTATTTACCGGTTCACACATGAACACGATACGTATTGCGATATGCTGATCGAAAACCGATATTTTGACATGCATTCGGAAAACTTCGTAATACCAGGAAATCTTCGGATATTTCCGTTTTTTAAATCGTTCCTTTCCTTGTTTCATTTGTGCCAAACATTATTTACATTTGTATTTTGTCATCATTAAAGGTTTTTATCACAGCCTAGTCAAGCATAGTGATTTTGTTCTGTTTTGCTTTATAAATCAAGCATCAACTCGATAATAAGTTGTTTTTGTTTTAAAAGTCTTCTTGCAATATATTGCAATACATATCGCAATATATGCTTTCGCATCGCAATATATCGCAATATGAAAATTCTATGCAATACCCACCCCTACTAGATGACATAGTTTCTGCACCTGTAGATCAAAGTGGTACCTCAGGTGATTTATAACATGGGATAATCTCTATTGCATGCATTAATGATTATGTTAATGGATTTGTTTTTTGTCTGTTTGAAAGTTATGGGATCAAAATATGCCTGATTTCCTGGACATCCGGTTCCACTGTACGGGTCTGCAAGATTCACACATACAGGTCAGTTCAAGGAAAGCGTGGAGAAGAGAGATGAAGAATAACTTTGTTCGTAATATTCAGATTGTGTGTAGAATCATTGTGTCTATCGGTAGTTGGTGGTAACTGAACCATTCGTTATATTTACTGGTAGCTTGTTATTTCGTACTGTATGTGTACCGTCTAAGTCAAGGCAGTATGTGTCGGTCTTAAGTTGAAGTGGAGAAAACAATATCGTACTTATGTCATGTCAACGGGTTTGTTTTGGAATTCAGATTAATTGATGATTCTTGATTCTAATTAATTAACATGATGAATAACATAACCTTCATATAACGAATGATGTTTATATGAAAGTGTTATATTATAGGCAATTCCCACTGAGCAGAGAGACTTTGTTACCTCCCGTCTACAACGTGGACGGCCTGTTTGGCCCCAACACTTCAGTGAGTTTTGTGCTGCACACAAACGGTAATAATTATATATATTTGGCTTTTCGAATTTCAGTGTGTCATTGAATATTTGATTCACACACTGTCTGCCAGCACAGACGGCGGAAATCAACTTTAATTGTAAAAATACATACCTTTCCAGCGAAAACTCAAATTTACGAAAATATTTACACATAATATCTAACATTATTCAGCATTTTAAAATATAAATGTTTTGAAATGTGCTCACATTTATAGCCGATTTTGGTAAATTTGTGTAAGCATTCATAATCTGTCCTGAGGCCCAGAGTTTTTCCAAAGTTCGAATACCAATCAATACCTTATTGAGCGAATAAGATATTGGCGGACATTCAAACTCGCTTCACAATGGTAATATGAGAAGACCGATGCCGGATAATGTTCAATATGAACCAGTTGTTGTAACATCTTCCAGGAATGTTTTAGCATATCGGATGGACTTGTCCATTGCAGGGCGACTGTCGATGTGTTTGTTTGTGGACCCAAGGCGATGATTGAAGACGTCCAGAAGCTGTGTCTCCGAGGCAACGTAGAAAAGACTAACTTCATATTTCACAGGGAATCCTTCTGAAACAAAAGCAACGAATTTCCTGAAGCTAGTGTGGTAGAGACCTGTAAAATAGATGACGGCAGAAGTCAAAATCGATTGATAAATGTGCATGTTTAAGAACTCCGCGAACAGATGTGATATTTAGATTTTTGAAAGGAGACAGGAGGTCTAGTTCATAAACACGAGTGAAAAAATCATCACAGGCTCACATATTTACGTTTCCGTTCTCCTCACGAAACGATAATGGTAAATGAGAGTTAGAACTTCGAGGTTTAGAAGTACCATGGTCAGGTGTGAAATTGTTTTTAATGACCAAAGTTCGGAATAATGAGGCCATGGATTACTAAGGTCCTATGTTGTGAAGATACTGGATTAGCAAGGTTCAGAGTTGTTTGGTTAATAGGTACGAATATAGCACAATCTCCGAAACATCAGATCCATACTTTCACAGATCAGAGCACTTCCACGGGAGTTCAAATAAACATTCTGTTCGGAATATCAGCGTGGATGCTTCTGAATTCTCGGTTCCAAAAGTGACATCTGGTTGGCTCACATAGTCGTCATTCAGATTGCGTGTTCAAAGTCTGCCCAGAATTAGCTGACGCCATCTATTAAGGGCTCCTTCTTTCACCTAACGTAATCGTATAAGGAGATGTCCAGAGATCCCCGCTCATAAAGAAATCATGAAGGACGGACAGATCCGATTTTAGTGACATTGGAAATATCACATCGTGTTTCATTCATTCGTGACAAAATTCTGTTATACAGAATTCTATGTTATGCAGAATTCTACGCAGACAATGTACTTTATTAAGGTACTGCATTACGTTTATAATATGTTTTGTAATTGTACGTTCTCTAACTTAGATTGCCAATAAAAAGAAGAAGTTTCACGTTTGTTTGTTCTTTCAAGACACCACATCCGCACATGGGCACTAATGTGTGGTATGAGCAGTCTCCTGCCAGAGGTCTTCCTTGGTGTATGTCTCTTATTACTCTCACATTAAACACATCTATTAAATGAAAGTCGTTTTAATTTTGAAAATCTACTCTCTGGGATAGCGATATTGCGGAATTGTCTATTATTCAAGATATTATTTATTATTATAGGATATTTATATAGCGCACATACCCAGGCCACTATAGTACATGGTGAAGACTCTGAGTTCGATTATATGTATATAAAACATGCTTGACAAGGACTGAACGGGATTGGTTTAACGCTGTTCCAAACAGTTACTGTCTTCCAGTTTTGCCATCAATAAACTGACAGTGACTGGGTTTGTACATGCTTCCGTGTATTTTTCCTGGTTTGAATCGCAGTGATTTCTGTATTTCACGGATCAGTGGCTGTGTACCATGAGGTCGTTCCCAAAATGAGTGAGCGAGTATGGTTTTGCGCCGCTTTTAGCAATATTCCAGCAATATCACGGCGGGGGACATCGGAAATGGGCTTCACATATTGTATCCATGTGGGGAATCGAACCCGGGTCTTCAGAGTGACCAGCAGACGCTTTAACCACTAGGCTACCCCATCGCTCTTCGTTTTAAAACAATTGATTTACACTTGCATGGGGTTGTAGCGGGTGCCACCGTTGTGGAAGCATACACCTTTTTGAAACCACTGTCATCATTATCATCATAATAGTGATTCATAAAAACATTAATTTTTTTTATAGGCAGAATCGTACGAAGGACGCTTCTTTTGTCGGAGATTTCTTATGATTATAAGAAGCGGTTTTTTCACATCTATAAAGATAACACACAATATGCCATACAGATTTTCACAATTTATTATGATACTCTTTGTATCCACACATGTATATAATTGTTTACAAATTTCCATGGAAACGGTCGGTTTCCGCCTAAATGAACACAATGATGTTACATATAGCCACTGGAGTGCTGTCTGTTCGAATAATGTCAATGTCTTGAAATAATCCTCATAGAGCAGCCATGCAAACTCGCCGTGTGGGCTACATGATTCATCTTTATTAACAGTGAGCACAGTCAACTCTTGTCATGTTGCCCCTGTTGTCTCAGGCTACGAATGTGTAGACGTGACAGCACCTTGAGGTTTAAGCAGTTCAAAACACTGTTTCAGCTTCATCATTTGTAGTTTAATATTTTCTGAAACAAATTAGTATTTTGTGGTTTCTAATACTGAAAATATATATACTAACATGCAAGCAATATACATTTAAAATTAGCAAAATAATTGGTAAAGTATCATGTTCCTGTGGGTTAGATATAGAACGTGAAGGCCAGAAATGAGCCAGTCTCGATTATGCGACGATACCGATTCTGCCAAATTAGCGATAACATTCATTCGTTCGTTCGTTCGTTCGTTCGTTCGTTCGTTCGTTCGTTCGTTCGTTTGTTCGTTCGTTCGTTCGTTCATTCATTCATTCATTCATTCATTCATTCATTCATTCATTCATTGAAATCTGAAAATTAGTGATGACACTCTATCGTTAGCACCGGTCACTCACATAATCTGTTACCCGTGAAGATGAGGGTTAGAACTGTTCTTCGGCAACCCATGCTTGTTGTAAAAGGCGACTAACGGGATCGGGTGATCAGACTCGCAGACTTGTCTGACACGTGTCATCGTATCCCAATTGCGTAGATCGATATTCATGCTGTTGACCACTGGATTATCTGGTTTATTTTCAGACCGCCGTCATATAGCTGGAATATTTCTGTTAAACAATGAAAACCAAACCAAATCACATAATCTGCATTGCAAAGTGTTTATTGCATGACATTACGCATCGGTACTAGAACCATAGTGCCAATATAGTCCTGACAATCACCACTCGTGCTGTTACATTCTTAATTGTTATCAAGGGGATTGGTGTGTATTGTGTGGCACTGGTGACAGAAACAGCCGTGAGTTTCGAGTCCCATCATATGGCCACACGGGACTCCCTGCTGCCGTTCTTAGAATCAATTTCTCCTTATAGCTTACCTTTGACACTGGCTTCCTATAGCGTCTCTACTGCTAGTGGTACCTCAGACCTTCCCTTTGACACTGGCTCCTTATAGCGTCTCTTCTGCTAGTGGTACCTCAGACTTTCCCTTTGACACTGGCTCCTTATAGCGTCTCTACTGCTAGTGGTACCTCAGACCTACCCTTTGGCACTGGCTCCTTATAACGTCTCTAGTGACAGTGGTACCTCAGACCTTCCCTTTGACACTGGCTCCTTATAGCGTCTCTACTGCTAGTGGTACCTCAGACCTTCCCTTTAACACTGGCTCCTTATAGCGTCTCTACTGCTAGTGGTACCTCAGACCTTCCCTTTGACACTGGCTCCTTATAACGTCTCTAGTGACAGTGGTACCTCAGACCTTCCCTTTGACACTGGCTACTTATAGCGTCTCTACTGCTAGTGGTACCTCAGACCTTCCCTTTGACACTGGCTCCTTATAGCGTCTCTACTGCTAGTGGTACCTCAGACCTTCCCTTTGACACTGGCTCCTTATAACGTCTCTAGTGACAGTGGTACCTCAGACCTTCCCTTTGACACTGGCTCCCTATAGCGTCTCTACTGCTAGTGGTACCTCAGACCTTCCCTTTGACACTGGTTCCTTATAGCGTCTATAGTGACAGTGGTACCTCAGACCTTCCCTTTGACACTGGCTCCCTATAGCGTCTCTACTGCTAGTGGTACCTCAGACCTTCCCTTTGACACTGGCTCCTTATATCGCCTCTAGTGACAGTGGTACCTCAGACCTTCCCTATAACTTGCAGCAATCCCCGTATAACATCTTTTACGACAGTAGTTCTTCATAGCTACCTCAGACACTTCCCTTTTTTGTCTACATTACGTAACTGTTTATAATATATGATATCATATACCATGAATTCAAAGAACGCCATATGACCCGTGTTCAAAGCTTGTAAACGTAACGTCAGATGCTTTTCTCTATTTTATTATTCATATCATATGTTACCCTGCCCTCAGCTGAATAATTGAATACACTTGCATGTGTTTGTGTAGGTGCCAAAGGATAGTTAACACCCAATCTCATCACTAACTGAGAGTGTTCACTAATTTCTTATGATTATGGAATATTTTACAGCAAATTAGTGTAGAAATATCTAGAACAAAGTGTCTGTATAGGTATGTTCCAGCAGCGCCACAAGAGACGATCATCTCACCCTAATGTGCATCAGTTATTTCGTCTGTGAAACATCGTGCTAATATTAATTGTCACAAAGCCGGAATGGCGTGCTCCTAGCGGCAACCTATAAATAGTTTCGAATGACTCTGCGGCTTCCAGTCTAAGGTCTGGCGTCACGGTAGAAGACACTGCCGTTCATGTCGCAGTAGAGTCTGGGGATGGGGAACGTGACAGCGCTGGACCCATGGGAACAGCTGAATGCATCGGGGAAACTAAGATCACTTGGGCCAGTCGGGTATTTCCTGTCCTCCGTGTATCTTGCCGCCATCGGTGAGTAAAGAATGGCATTCAATCGTACAAGCATGTTCCATGCTTTCATGGCATACCTGCAGTTTATATTTATAATCAGTTAGTATCAGTTCCTATTATGTTTCTAAGCTTGTACAGAAAGACCGATCATCCTGCAATAACAAAGTGTACTGTAAGCATGTCTACATTATGTTTCTAAGCTTGTACAGAAAGACCGATCATCCTGCAATAACAAAGTGTACTGTAAGCATGTCTACATTATGTCTCTAAGCTTGTACAGAAAGACCGATCATCCTGCAATAACAAAGTGTACTGTAAGCATGTCCACATTATGTTTCAAAGCTTGTACAGAAAGACCGATCATCCTGCAATAACAAAGTGTACTGTAAGCATGTCTACATTATGTTTCTAAGCTTGTACAGAAAAAACGATCATCCTGCAATAACAGAGGGTACTGTAAGCATGTCTACATTATGTTTCTAAGCTTGTAAAGAAAGACCGATCATCCTGCAATAACAAAGGGTACTGTAAGCATGTCTACATTATGTTTCTAAGAAAGTCTTCACCAGTATCTATGTCATATCCATTACTTTGTTTCCATGTTTTGGAACATCATTTATCGAGGTTTTGAACGTTTGTTAATGTGAAAGAGACCAATAATTTTTCATTGTATGAATCAGTGGTAAGTTTGTGCGTGTGCGTGTGCGTGTGCATGTGCGTGCGAGGGCGCCCACGTGTGTGTGTGTTTCAGCCAGGAAACCTTGTAATTATGCACATTAGAACGATATAGATATACATACATCAACCAAACCATCCTTTTTGCAGGTATCATCGCCACATTTGGCAACAGTCTCGTGTGCTATGTTATTTTGCGGAACAAGAAGTTGCGAGCAAGGTCTCACAACATGCTGCTTGTCAACATGGCTTTCTCCGACCTGTGTATCACTGCTTTCGGCTACCCATACACCACTATATCCGGCTTTGCCAACAAGTATATGTTTGGCTGGGTGTACTGCATCATGCAAGGCTTCCTCACGTTTACATTTGCAATGTCATCCATGAACACCCTAGCTGTCATCAGTATATACCGTTACGTTTCTGTTTGCAAGCCTCATCTCAGTAAGTATGACATATCGTGTTTATATATCTACCCAGTTATCCACAGTGGTTTCATAACATCGTATTCGGTGTAGACATTATGTACTCCATGCTCCATGTGGACAATGGGACCATTTATTAATAACCAATGCAGACGCTGGCACCAGTATTTCAGTCCGTTTGGGTTCAAATGAGAATAACCCGAAATGCCCCATATAGACATTGACACCAGTACTTCATGCCCCATATAGACATTGACACCAGTACTCCATGTCTCATATAGACATTGACACCAGTACTTCATGTCTCATACAGACATTAACACCAGTACTTCATGTCCCATATAGACATTGACACCACTACTTCATGTCCCATATAGACATTGACAACAGTACTTCATGTCTCATATAGACATTGACACCAGTACTTCATGTCTCATATAGACATTGACACCAGTACTTCATGTCTCATATAGACATTGACACCAGTACTCCATGTCTCATATAGACATTGACACCAGTACTTCATGTCTCATACAGACATTAACACCAGTACTTCATGTCCCATATAGACATTGACACCAGTACTTCATGTCTCATACAGACATTAACACCAGTACTTCATGTCCCATATAGACATTGACACCACTACTTCATGTCCCATATAGACATTGACAACAGTACTTCATGTCTCATATAGACATTGACACCAGTACTTCATGTCTCATATAGACATTGACACCAGTGCTTCATGTCTCATATAGACATTGACACCAGTATTTCATGTCTCATGTAGACATTGACACCAGTACTTCATGTCTCATATAGACATTGACACCAGTACTTCATGTCTCATGTAGACATTGACACCAGTACTCCATGTCTAATGTAGACATTGACACCAGTACTTCATGTCTCATACAGACATTGACACCAGTACTCCAGGTCTCATGTACACATTGACACCAGTACTTCATGTCTCATACAGACATTGACATCAGTACTCCATGTCTCATACAGACATTGACACCAGTACTTCATGTCTCATACAGACATTGACACCAGTACTCCATGTCTCATACAGACATTGACACCAGTACTTCATGTCTCATACAGACATTGACACCCGTACCTCATGCCCCATTTAGACATTGACACCAGTACTTTATGTCTCATACAGACATTGACACCAGTACTTAATGTCTCATTTAGACATTGACACCAGTACTTCATGTCTCATACAGACATTGACACCAGTACTCCAGGTCTCATGTACACATTGACACCAGTACTTCATGTCTCATACAGACATTGACATCAGTACTCCATGTCTCATGTAGACATTGACACCAGTACTTCATGTCTCATACAGACATTGACACCAGTACCTCATGCCCCATGTAAACAATGGCTCCAGTACTTTATGTCTCATACAGACATTGACACCAGTACTTCATGCCCCATATAGACATTGACACCAGTACTTCATGCCCCATATAGACATTGACACCAGTACTCCATGTCTCATATAGACATTGACACCAGTACTTCATGCCCCATGTAAACAATGGCTCCAGTACTTTATGTCTCATACAGACATTGACACCAGTACTCCAGGTCTCATGTACACATTGACACCAGTACTTCATGTCTCATACAGACATTGACACCAGTACTCCAGGTCTCATGTACACATTGACACCAGTACTTCATGTCCCATATAGACATTGACACCAGTACTCCATGTCTCATGTAGACATTGACACCAGTACTTCATGTCTCATACAGACATTGACACCAGTACCTCATGCCCCATGTAAACAATGGCTCCAGTACTTTATGTCTCATATAGACATTGACACCCGTACTTCATGCCCCATATAGACATTGACACCAGTATTCCATGCCTCATGTAGACATTGACACCATTACTTCATGTCTCATACAGACATTGACACCAGTACTCCATGTCTCATGTAGACATTGACACCAGTACTTCATGTCTCATACAGACATTGACACCATTACTTCATGTCTCATACAGACATTGACATCAGTACTCCATGTCTCATACAGACATTGACACCAGTACTTCATGTCTCATACAGACATTGACACCAGTACTCCATGTCTCATATAGACATTGACACCAGTACTTCATGTCTCGTATAGACATTGACACCAGTACTTCATGTCTCATACAGACATTGACACCAGTACTCCATGTCTCGTATAGACATTGACACCAGTTCTTCATGTCTCATACAGACATTGACACCAGTACTCCATGTCTCATATAGACATTGACACCAGTACTTCATGTCTCATACAGACATTGACACCAGTACTTCATGTCTCATACAGACATTGACACCAGTACTTCATGTCTCATATAGACATTGACACCAGTACTCCATGCCCCATATAGACATTGACACCAGTACTTCAAGTCCCATATAGACATTGACACCATTACTTCATGTCCCATATAGACATTGACACCATTACTTCATGTCCCATGAAGACATTGACACCAGTACTTCAAGTCCCATATAGACATTGACACCAGTACTTCAAGTCCCATATAGACATTGACACCATTACTTCATGTCCCATGAAGACATTGAGCCGAAGTGAAATGGTAGCCGGATCCTGAGGATATCTAGACTTGCTTCATTTGGGGCTTTAGCATTGCAGAAAGGGATAGGCAGGAGGGGGAATAATGTAGTTCATGGACAGTGAGACAGACTAGTTTAGGGCTCTGTTTTAAGTTTTGTCAGAATTGTCTGTGGAGATATGACCTTTGAGTAGCTGTTTGTCTGTATTAACGTACAGTGTCATCAAGACCAGTTATATGGTATTATTGCCTCTATCTCCCAGACTACAAGTTGACGGTCGGTTTCACCCAGTTCGTACTGTTCCTCACGTGGTTGTACACTGTGCTGTGGACGGCGCCACCACTGTTCGGGTGGAGCACCTACACCATCGAACCGTTCGGGACGTCGTGCAGCATTAACTGGACTAGTCCAAACGACTGGGACGTCGCCTACGTCTACTGCCTCGTAGTCTTCTGCTACCTCATCCACATTGCGATAATGTCCTTCTGCTACTACGAGATAGTGAAGAAGTCTTCGACCCTGAGAATCAACACTCGTAAAACTATGGACCTTGATGAAGCAAAGAAAGCCCACAAGATGAAAGTCGAGATGAAAGTGACGGGGGTAAGAAAGATGACTTACATTCAACTAGATTTAATCTGAAGGAAAATCGAGTTCTACGGATAGTCAACTTTTTTATTGGAATCTATTGCGACGTTCCGGTGTAGGTACTAACACCGTTATCAGGCATGTGATGTACCTAAACGTCGCACTCACTGCAATGAAGAAGTGGACTATCCATAGAACTTGGTTTTCCTTCATCTTTACACCTTCTAAAATGCCTCTAAAAGCAGATTTAATCTCATTAACATCAGATCTTAGTATGCCACGGCTTCTATGGACAAAACAATTAGAGCTCAAAGGTAACAGTTTCAAAATGGAGTCATTCAGTCTTGGCTACGTTTCAAATATTTTGACAAAGTTCTGAATTCTAAATCTTAAAGATCACATATACTCTAGGGGGTACAAATACATAAATCACTAATTGGCATCGTTATAAATAAAACCCCATCATTAAAACTACTCATTTCGATCTTTAATTAACTTAAAGCGACCTTTTTGACAACAGTGCACAATTCTCACCCGCGAACGAAATTTCAACCAATCAGAGGGGCGCATCTCCGTGACGTCATGTGAGGAATAGATATGAGGGCCGATGTAGAATTCATTCACATTTCAGGGGGTAAATTATCTTGTTTACAGGTTTGTATAAACCTGAAATCGGGACAATTGTTGTGAAAAATGAAAGCTATATGTTCTCACAATCTACTGTCATTTAATTTTGTCACCTGCTTTGCCAAGCTTCCGAGTTACAACTTGTTTTCATAGACGATTCTGTTAAAATCGCTTGGTGTCGCTAGGCCTTATTTGGTCGAACCAGACGCTAGTGATAGTGAAAACGATGATCAGCCTCGCTCATCACGGTTACGGTTAATTTCTTCAACCTAAACAGTGCGACATTAGGAAGGGTAGATGCCCATCAGATGCCGTTGTTTGAAAATATCCCCGGCAGTTCTTGTCTGATTGTAATAAAGTATCAAAGCAGTGTGGGCTTTTTCAGGTTTTCTAATGCCTGGATGGTATAATGACTGATCCAAATTGATCCCATTTCTGTGTTTTTTTACCTCGATATTTAATCATGTCATGTAAAAATCTGACGTCTATTACGTATGATCTTCAACATTGATATTTCATTTATTTGAATCCGTAAACTAAACAACCCCACTTTGCCATTGCTAGAAGAATCTGAAAATGTTCTTAGGTAAATAGGTACATACAGTTTTAGCACGCAGCAAATGCTTATATGTATTTCTTATGCAACAATGAAGTTCTGTTCGTATTCTCAAAACAGTGTCGGCCCATACGTTTTCACATGCAATTAAAATTGCATGCAATACAACAATTAATACTCCCTTGTTGTAACCCGTGTTAGGTGGTATAAACCTACACATGTTATGTGTCATCATTCACTTGATGGTCAGTTAATGAATTTATAACAGGTATAATTAGTGGTAACACCACTTAGATTACCCGACGGTGTATTCCCATACTGCCTACAGGTTAAAACATTATGATACGGTCCAGTGATCAGGAAGTGAATACACCAATCTGACCTGTTCTACACCTGCTAAAATTAACTTGACTAGTTAGCTGGTTAATTCTATGGTGTCTTCCCACTCTGCCTACAGAAGTTTAAGAAAATGACAAGTAGATGCACAGATATATACTAATATAATCCCCTAATTATCCCTTACTCCAAACGAAGCACCCCTTCTTCATTGATACTCGGGCTGTTCCTTTATTCTACAGGGCAAAAATCTTTTCCCACGCTGCCTACAATGTTTTTGTTGGCAGTTTGGGATGTAGGCAGTTTGGAACTGTGGGCAGTATGGGACCTGACCTACCCGACAGGGTTCCTATTAGGCAGTTCATGTGTCTGGGGTAAATATTCAACACTATAAACATCGATCAAAGGATTAACCGATAACACGCTGACTGATTAATTACTTTTATCTTGCACAGCGGATTTGTCAAAAGGTAGTGTTTATGTATAGGTAGATTTCCCAATCTATACTGAATACACTCTGTCGTAAAGTGTCTGTGTAAAAACAACGTCCTTCTTTCAAAGGATTAACCGCCAATACATTGATTGATTGCTCATTATTGGCTAACTAAATTACTTTTTGTTTAAAGAATGGCGGACATTATGCAATTAGTTGCCAGGTGTGCTATCTTGGGTGACCAATGAGACTATACACCAATGTGAAATACCTGAAACGATATATCACTTTTTCGCATATTAGACTGTTAAAAGACACATCACTTGGAACAGCTGCAGATGAATGGCATATCACTCGTTTTTGTGGATATTGATGGATACATTCCTCGAACAAGGTAATAGCCTGACATTGTTCCTATAACTTTAGTCTGTTTTAATTTTAATATTTGCATTTTGTTTTTATTCATTTGTCGTAGCATTCAACAGAATCATTGTTTTCGCCGTGAAGTGTAATGAGACAGACAACATACACTAGGGCGTGTGTGCGAATTATGATTCACATTGGCAAACTATAAAATGTCTCGATATCACAGTCCTGTTATAAATTCACTATACGTATCAGCAGATCGTCTGCTTTTTATTAAGTTTCAAAATGCATACAAGTATGATAATAAATTAAGATTATAAGACCAAATATAAAGACGTACATTGACTAGTATCTACATACTGATGAGTGGACGTTAACCACGTGAATGTAGCAAGAAATTTATCGCGCAGTATTGTCACTTCGACCCCCACCTCGCTTCCGTGGAAGAAATCGTTATGTTACAAGTTGTGTCATGCAAAATTCTTTTGGTCCTGATTCAAATACATATTTAACTACGAGTAGAAAGTAGTTTTGATTTTCTAACTAGATGAAAACAAGCCATAATCTCATTAATTCTTGAACAGACTTTAGCCCGTGACGTCACGATTTTTGAAAATGGCGGCGCCCTGTCGCGAACATCCGCCAGAATAAATGCTATGTAGGTTTGTTTTCACCGAGTTACAAAATCAAAATTACTTTCTCCTGGTAGTAATATATGTACTTGATTGATGGCCAAAAGGATTTTGCATGACATAGCTTATAACATAACAATTTCTCTCGTGGAGCGAGGTGGGTGTCAATATAACACTACTTACCATATTATTGCAGTCTAAGTAAACTTAGGCTCAGTATTATTCGTTACACTGCAATATACTGGTATACTGTTATACTGGTATAGCAGTGTAACGAATTATACTGAGCCTAAGTTTACTTAGACTGGATATTATTGTCACTTCGACCACAACCTCGCTTCCGTGGAAGAAATCCTTATGTTAAAAGTTGTGTCATGGAAAATCTTTTAGGTCATCAATCATATACATATTTTACTACAACTAGTAAGTAGTTTTGATTCTTTAACTTCCGTGAAGCGATCTGAACACACGTAAGATATCGTTCCAGGCTTCCACAACGCTCGCTTCGCACTCAAAAACATAACCATTTAGCACGATCTACGGGGTCCGGTGGAAATCAGTGCATGGTGACACCATCACCCGACCTCTAGGAGCAATTGACGGCAACGCAACGATTTGGCATGTCGGCGAAATGACGAGCTGGTTATACATTTTATATACAACTAACTGAAAATCCTTCCTCATATGACGTCACTTCCGGTTCGCTGCAGTGCTCTGTCGACAGAGTTACGAAACACCTCTCTTGGTTTCGTTGGCGGGCGAGAGAAGCAGGCGACATTTTGGCAACTTTTAATCGCTCGGTATTAATTAACCACAAGTTTTTTAAGAACGAAATTGGTGTTCCGCTTAAGACGAACCACACGTATTTCATATGTAATGGTTAAAGAGTACAAACAACAAAAGTTTATTTGTTCTTTAAAAGTAGAAAAAGAAAATTCTGGAATCAGTAATAGATGGTCGACATTGTATTGCAGTATTTCCCTTGACTTCGGAAAGGCTTCCATTTCAAATTTGTCATATTATCCCATTACGAAGAAAGTTAAACTATTTTAACAATCGGCATCAGTCGTACAGACACTCTGATTGGTCAAGCAAAAGTTCATTCTGACGTTACAAGTAATAGGGTATCCTTAACTCTTTGTGCAGCGGCTGTGAGCACTATGATCTGACTGTAATAATGTCTGTCCTGATTTCATTTTTGTCTGCATCAAGGTTAACACAGGGTCTTATTTGTCCGCAAATATGATTATATTTATCCACAGTTTCGTGGGTAATTAAACAAAAACATTAATTTAATTGAGAGTAGTTATCAAACGAATATGATGTGCAAAACTATGTTTGAATTATTAAGATAAATTATAACCAAACAATACATGTAATGATGTATGGAGAATACACGCAAAGACGCCATCCGCTTATATCACCATCACATCCGTTTTCGCCAATGTTCAAACGTCCGTGGATGTGACCATACGTTCGTGAGTGATCTCTGGCAGGGGTAAATGAAGCATGGTTCGAGAACAGCTGGAAGCACATATTCCTGTGTCTTTGCGTGCTGGCAAATCTACTTTCTCTACCTTGTTTCCCACGCTATTCGTAAACCATAATCAGCAGCCTTACTGCAGCGAGTACTCGTTGCCCTGAACATATTACTGGAAACCAATGCCTGACCTCTGAATTACTCTTCTTAATCCCTCCAAGATTACATTCACATATACCTGGATAGGGATTAGTGTGATAATAATCAACTGCCACTACATACTAATCCAAGTCAAATAAATGGATATAGATAGACCTTCACATAACGACTGGTTCGTACAGACTACAGCTTTATTTGATCATGCTACGTTGTTATGATTATAATGCCAGCTGTGAGGGACATCCTATTCACCTTTTTAGTGTTGAGTATCAATGCGAATAAATGACAACTTCCAAATGTGAACTGGCATCTGATTGTTCACTGTCCTGGTCGACTTTGAGAAAAGATAACGGTGGCTAGCCCTCAATCAACAGCATGTCGCTACATACAGATGCTTAATTGGCAACCTTGAAAACTCTATCAGACTTAACAAGGAGCATTAGTATGGTATATTCGCGGAGAGAGAATTGGTCTGAACGCCGCAGGGAACAGTGGTAAAGTTACAGCAGCTCGTTAGCTTAATATCGAATGCGAACGAAAGGTGATGCGGGTCTTCGGTGCTGACCATTTGGGTGAAATCCATAAGAGGGTTAGAGACTACACACCTAGACACATTATCAGGGCGTATCGGAATTCAAACCGGGAACAAAATTATCGACCAACAGGCTCCTGTACATTCTCAGAAATGTACATGCATGTTGGCAGTCATCGGATTATGTAGACAAGATGAAATATAAACACAGGCTTCAAGAATAGGAATGTTGACACCATAACCAGCAAACCTCCCTAAAGGAGCAACTAATAATTAATTGGTCTGGCTTTTTAAAGAATTATTATGATGAGTATGGCTTGTTCCAGATGTGCCTGACAATGGTCATCATCTTCACCATAGTATGGTCCCCCTACACCTTCGTGTGCCTGTGGTCAGTGTACGACCCTGACCTGCCAATATGGGTGACCACTCTCCCCACAATGTTCGCCAAACTGGCCAGCATGCTCAATCCATTCATCTACGTGGCCACTAACAACTCCTTCAAGGAAGCTGCGAGGGAGTTAATCTACGCACGACGGAACAAAATCCACGCCATTGAAGAATTTCGCAGAAAGAGGTGAGTGAGTGAGTTTAGTTTTACGCCCCTTTTAGCTATATTAATATTCAGCAATATCACGGCGGTGGACACCAGAAATGGGCTTCACACATTGTGCCCATGTGGGGAATCGAATCTGGGTCTTTGGGGTGACGAGCGAACGTTTTAACCAGTGGGCTACCCAATCGCCCCTCAGAAAGTTTGTGTTGCATATACAGTACATCCAGAAATTATTGAGAATTTAAGATTGTAATTTTATTATATTTTTTTCACTCATTACTCACGTATCAAATGTGAATATTAGCAGAACATAACTCCAGATTCAAAGACAGGTGAACAGTTAGTATTTTGTCAAGTCAACATGGGCAGCAATGCAGGCTTCAATGCGGCGGGGCATACTATTGATCAAAGAAGTTAGAAAGTCGTGGTCCATGCTGTCCCAATATCGGACCACCTCTTCTTTCATTTCAGCAATATTTGTCAGATTTTTCTTATTGACACTTTCTTTCATAAGTCCCCAAACATTTTCCATTGGATTTAGGTCAGGGCTATAGCTTGGCCAATCTAATAATGTCATATTTTGGGTCCGAAACCAGGCCTGTGAATGCTTTGAACGATGTTTTGGGTCGTTGTCCTGCTGGAAAATCCCAAAATTTCCATAGAACACGTGAGCAGATGGACGTAAATGTCCCTCGAGAATATCGGTGTACCGCTCACTGTTCATATTCCCTTCAAATACACAGAGGGGCGTTGCCCCTAACACAGATATGCCACCCCACACGTTAAATTTCGGACTGTACTTTGGGCGCTGATACAAAGGTTTTAAGTTTGTTTGGTCCAGAATTTCAGTGTATTAGGAAACAGCCACACAGAACTTTCATCTAAGAAAATCACATTGCCCCAGTTAAAATTTCTATGCTGTAAGCACCAGTTCAACCTTCGCTCCTTTTGTTCAGGTTTCATGATCGGTGATGGAATTCCTCGAATTTTCTGCCAACCCATTGCATGCAGCTCAGTTCTAATTGTCCCCTTACAGACAGCCACAGTTCCTCTATCAATCATATTCAGCCTTAAGTTTTGTAAACTCCTTCGCTTGTCTTTAGAAACAAGAATACCAAGCCGCCTCCTGTCACCGACAGTCAATTTTCTGGGCCTACCTGCGCCTCCCTGGTGCTCAATGCCATATCCATTTGCAATATCTTTCAAAACCCGATAAACAGTGGACAAAGGGATGCCTGTTCTACTTGAAATCACTTTAGCTGATCTGATGTCCTTGATATAATACTCTAAACTCAACTTCCTCTTCTCTAAATCATCCATACTGAGGATCACTGAAAATGTCGTCTGCTAGCAAGCTAACAAAGGGGGATAACTCATCACAAACTAATTAAAAAGGATTAACGGAGTTGTCTCTCTTGAATGAAACCAAGCACTTGATAGCTGTCAAGGTTGTTTATACTAGAAATCCAATTAAACATATTCCTAAAATTCTCAATAATTTCTGGTCATACTATACAATACATGTACACTCTTGGAATTCATACTAAGCATTTAATATTAACTTGTAACTGTTAGCAACATGTTATTAGATAGTTGATTTCAGTTTCTGTATTTCAATATGATGTGACATTGTGGGGAAAAAGAACAGATGTTAATCGTCACCAATCAATAACAAATCAATAATAGATATTTCATAAGAAAATATATAACCGGCGGTAGCGTAATATGACATTCCGGGAGTACATCAAGCTGTAAACAAGGTTCAAAGTGTCAATTCAATTATAATTAAAGATGTTTCAAACGTAATGCGAAGCGGGATTTGAAAATATTGTGAATTCTCTCGTGCATTAATTCATGTTGTAATATGTCTGTTTGTGCTTTTGATATGTATTCATGAAGAAATTGAGTACATTGAGGCTGGAAAACACCCTTTCATGAATTCAATTAATTAATTGATTAGCATAGTAGTAAGAATCTCAAACTCGCTCCTTACAAATACCAGTCCTTATGCCACTAGGGGTAGCCACGTGGTCAAATCATAATTCGCTAAGCCAAATGCTTCAAGGTGACGAGTAAATTCCTGGTGTCTCCTGACGTGATATTACTACATTAGTGCTCACACTCACTTATGCACCAATTATCTTCATATAACTTTACATACTAGTAAATTATGAACCTTGTATTTGGGACTTTGGATCCAAGCGTGAATTGCTTAGAACAGCTAACATGTATTTACAATGTGCGGATAGCTACGTCATAAGTGGAAATATTGTCGGCCATGTTGATGGTTGATACTCTCCCACAACATGTATTATAAGTTAATAGCATTATGACTTGGGGTATACGGGGTTTTATATATGCGTCCCTTGTTGGGCCGGAGGCGAGATGGATAAAACCTAGCGAGGGACGCATAACAACCCGTATACCCCGAATCATAATGCTACAACGTATAATACATCATTCGTCACCACTCGCCCCTTTCCGTAAACTCCAAGAAGACTCGTCCCCCTATCAATGCTTGTTATGTGCGAAAATACGACAAACCAATCAGAACGCGCGTAATGGATGCAGTGCTTTGATAAAAATAATCCCGACTACTTAAATCGTTTATGGCGTTATGCTATTGTTTAAAAAATCATGAAAAATATATATCGTCTTATTGAAAGTACTAAGAACGTAGCTAAAAGAATTGTTCTGTCTAATGTAAAGTTTTTGATAAGAATCATACGATTGACGGTGAGAGGTTCAAATACACGCACGTGAGTTTGTTGACAAAACGGATCTCATGGGTCCAACTGAGTGTATTTCTGGCGATCTTGCGGGGCTTGTTGTGGAGATTGTACGTGCGCTTCCAAACGTTTTTGGAAATTATAGATCGCTACGAGTTTCAAAACAATAATATTATATCTGTATGTAACTAATCAACATTGGGTTTATATGTCACATCACTGGGAATATTTTAGTCTCACTTTTGTTTGGTCATTCATATGTTTTTCAGCGATTTCCTTTAAAATTCCATCGGGTGTGTGACAGCAACGTAACACGAATGCTCAATTTGGGAAATATTTCAAAGTCATTTTTGAGTATCTGCTTTGGGATTTAATGTAGCTGAAAAGATTATTTTATTTGTTATTCAATAAAAAATATTCCCATTTATGATTAATAAACCCTATTCACAAATATAATTGAAAATATAAGGTGAAAAGCTGATAATAATTACGTCAGTATATGTCTTTAAAATATGTTTTTCTCCTTTCTTTTAGTTGTATCAAAGAGGTGTAGTTCTTTAAAATAAAAAAGCAAAAACAAAAACAGCAATACAATGTACGAGTGCTTCGGTGATATTAAGTACCATTGGAATCAAACAGGAATAGAGTTATCGTTCTTGTTTAAAGTAGTTCTGATGTTCATGCGCCAATATGAAATCCTTTCAGAGGGGCACGAGTCGCTATTCGGCTTGTCCCGGAATAACACGAGTTGGCCACGAATGATAATACATGTTGTGGGAGAGTATCAAGAACGTACTGAGAACGAGTTTGATGTGATGGGGGTATTAGGTTTCATTCATCTCGCCTCCGGCTTGGCGGGGTATAAATGATTTATTCTCACTCGCAAAGATTTATATCCCGCTTGAGTGGTGTACGGCTGTGCACCGAGCATACATGGTAATTTGCTCAATGTCACGTGAACCAATCAGAGATGGACATTCATACATGAGGTAGAATAATATATTCTTGTGTCCTTCTCTCCAGGAGGGGGACGGAGAAGTCCATCTACACGATTGACCGGACCAAGGAAGGTATCTACATAGGTGTGGCGGAGGTCAAGATATCAACCAGAGACACTACATTCTTCTGACGACTTGTCAGCGTTCGGTCCTATTTGCGGCATTGTTATCCCAGTTGACTGGGTTACTGTCAAGTGGAAATGTTAACTTGGCGCTTCATGTGTTTGTGTGGTTGCCAACATCTGCTGCCGTCGAATTCCCTATTCGTGTGACTAGTCTGGCCGTGGTTACATCTCATCGTAGCTAAACCAGACATCAGGAATGTCAAACCGATAGATTAGTTATAACGATAGCGCGGCCATGACAGGTGTCCTTCAATTATACCCTGATACCTCGCATAGAATGTTGAAATGGCGTTTGTCTTGTATTCATGTTGTCCTATTCAGGATTTGTATCCAGCATAATGTATTAGTAATCTGAGGTGGGATGAGGCGTGAAGGTTGAGGCGAGGTGAGTTGAGGTGGGGTGAAATAGCATTTTGATAACTACGCTTATATAGCGACCTGCAGACACATGTATGTTTGTCTGGCACTGTGTGCGTGTGCGTGCGTGCTTGCATGTTTGTGAGAGAATGATAGATCATCAGGCACAATTTATTCTTATAAACGCACGTTCCGTATGTCACCATGATCCTCATCAACCGTCCATTGATCTCCTGCGGTATCCGGCCTCGCTTATAAGCCAGGTGTTTGGGTGTTCGATTATTCCACTCAACCAACACAGTGATTTAGTATCGTATTCTCTTTTTGTGATGTAGTATCGTATTCTCTTTTTGTGATGCAGTATTGGTTTCTCCTTTGGTGATGAAGATTTGCTTTCTCTTTCTTGATTTAGTATCGTATTCTCTTTTTGATTTAGTATCGTATTTTCCCCTTTTTATTTAGTATCGTTTTCTCTTTTTGTGTTGAAGTATTGTTTTCTCTTTCTTGATTTAGTATCGTATTCTCTTTTTGATTTAGTATCGTATTCTCTTTTTGATTTAGTATCGTATTCTCTTTTTGATGTAGTATCGTATTCTCTTTTGTGATTTAGTATCGTATTCTCTTTTTGTGCTATTCGTTGATCAAGAAGTGTGTGAAGTTAGTAGCATTGATCTATTGATTTTTAAAGATTGGAATTCAATATATGTATTCGTTTATGGACGTGTAAACGACACACCTGAGTAAAATATCAAAGTACCCAGATTCTCGACTTTGTTACGTGCTACTCCATAAAAGTGCAAGCATCGTTTCTTTCAAGGAGTGAGTTTTTTGAGTGAGTTTAGTTTTACGCCGCACTCAGTTTCTTTCAAAGAGGTGCTATTGAAATGAATTTTATACGCACAGCTTTCAGTCATACCAAAAGGACAATGTGTCAACTTGCATTTGTAAGGGTGACCAAATCGACAAAAGTTCAAGACAGCCCAAAATTCGTCAAATAATGATACAATTTGAAGAAACACGGAAGAGCAATCAGATCGACATAAACCGAAAATTCGACACACAGGAGTTCGACACAACGGTGCCTAGTTGTGTGTAGATGTCGTAGGCAGTAGATGTTCTCTTCACAAGACATAACGCGTTTTAGACTTCTGTATCCACTGTTGAAGTGTAACAAGATGTACACGTATTTATATCACTCAATGTCATTTGAGTACCTACTTAGTGGTTGGATTTAGCGCTATATAAATTTTCACATTTTTATTATTTTAGTATTATTCAGATAGACGTGTCAGTACACGTTGAATAATGTTAGCTATAGATTCAACTGTACATACAATAATCTATATGTCACTGTGAAACGACTTACTGTATTTCCTCTCATAAGCGCCAGACTTCCAGACCCGGCGTTTATTTGAGGCCCGGCGCTTATTAGAGATACGGCGCTTATTGCGCTTACGGTCATGTCCCATTAGTCCTACGCCCATTAGTCATACTCCCACTAGTCATACAGCAAATGAGGGATTAATTAAAACAACAACAGGCATATACCCTTTGCGCAAAATGGACTAGTCCGCTAATTAGAGGGTTTGAGGTTAGTTGAATCTCTAACACTGAGAATGCCACAGTCTTTGATAATAAAAACAGAAACGAATGTTACTAAAGTAACTTACATTGAAGTTATATGAACATAGTACACCACAACCGTTGATAATCAAAACATTTTAATCAATGTTAAACTTTTAAAAAAACATAAACTAGTGCACAGAAGTTACTAGTACATGTTATAGACTCTAGCATATCACTCTTGTTATCGTGGCAGGATTGATTGAAGTGAAATACGTCACCTCTAGGCGAGGTACACAACAGGTACTGTTTCAAGGTCACCTTCACAACAAGACTGACTGACTGACTGACTGAGTTTGGTTTTACGCCGCTTTAAGCAATATTCCAGCAACATCACGGCAGGGGACACCAGAAATGGGCTTCACACATTGTGCCCATGTGGGGATTCGAACCCGGGTCTTCGGTGTGACGAGCCAACGCTTTAACCACTAGGCTACCCCACCGCCCCTTCACAACAAGAATTCTACAAAGGAACACTATAACCACTGGAGGTGTGTTGTGAAGACTTGCCAGGGTAGAGTTACTACAGTTAGAAACCGTGTCAGGAACTCCACTCCTCACAACCCTGGCGCACAAGAAGCTGGTCAACACTGTGAGGTTCATCAGCAACATGAAGAAGAGGGCCAGAAAAGAGATGAACCCAATGCCAACCCTGTATCAGGAAGCAGTTGCCTCATCTACCATCCTATGCAAGCCTTAGCAGTGCCCTCTACTGACATAGAAGACACACCATACCAGCACTCCCCCAGACAAGAGGTGATGTGGAACTTTGGTGCTGCCATCCAGGGAAGAAAGCGAGTGTATCGCGAGAAGGAAAACAGACTCGTCCAATTGTGGGACCAACTTAAAGCAGGCCAGAAAAACTCAGTTCAATTTCTGGATGATGTTTGTCTACCTCTACCTAACTGACCATTAATTGCGAAACTGTGAATTTAAGTTATGAAGTTATTTAAATAAAGAATAATGTGTTAATCTTACAGTCTAAGTGTACAGATTATGTATGTATACTATGCTTAAGATCAGATTATATATGTACACTATCCACAGATCAGATTATATATGTACACTATCCTCAAGATCAGAGTATTTATGTACACTATCCTCAAGATCAGATTATTTATGTACACTATCCTCAAGATCAGATTATGTATGTACACCATCCTTAAGATCAGATTATATATGTACACTATGCTCAAGATCAGTTTATATATGTACACTATCCTTAAGATCAGATTATATATGTACACTATCCTTAAGATCAGATTATATATGTACACTATCCTCAAGATCAGATTATATATGTACACTATGCTCAAGATCAGATTATATATGTACACTATCCTCAAGATCAGATTACACTATCCTCAAGATCAGATTATATATGTACACTATGCTCAAGATCAGATTATATATGTACACTATCCTCAAGATCAGTTTATATATGTACACTATTATTTTGTATCAAGATCAGATTATATATGTACACTATGCTCAAGATCAGATTATATATGTACACTATCCTCAAGATCAGATTATATATGTACACTATCCTCAAGATCAGTTTATGTATGTACACTATCATCAAGATCGGATTATGTATGTACACTATTCTCAAGATCAGATTATGTATGTACACTATGCTCAAGATCAGATTATTTATGTACACTATCCTCAAGATCAGATTATATATGCACACTATCCTTAAGATCAGATTATATATGTACACTATCCTTAAGATCAGATTATTTATGTACACTATCCTCAAGATCAAATAATATATGTACACTGTGCTCAAGATCAGATTATATATGTACACAATCCTTAAGATCAGATTATATATGTACACTATCCTCAAGATCAGATTATATATGTACACTATGCTTAAGATCAGATTATATATGTACACTATCCTCAAGATCAGATTACACTATCCTCAAGATCAGATTATATATGTACACTATGCTCAAGATCAGATTATATATGTACACTATCCTCAAGATCAGATTATATATGTACACTATCCTTAAGATCAGATTATGTATGTACACTATCCTCAAGATCAGTTTATATATGTACACTATTATTTTGTATCAAGATCAGATTATATATGTACACTATGCTCAAGATCAGATTATATATGTACACTATCCTTAAGATCAGATTATATATGTACACTATCCTCAAGATCAGTTTATGTATGTACACTATCATCAAGATCGGATTATGTATGTACACTATCCTCAAGATCAGATTATGTATGTACACTATGCTCAAGATCAGATTATTTATGTACACTATCCTCAAGATCAGATTATATATGTACACTATCCTCAAGATCAGATTATATATGTACACTATGCTCAAGATCAGATTATTAAAGTTCACTGCTGTGAAGCTGTATTTTTGTTTCTTCGATCATTCCACTTCATTTGTATACAAAGGTGTTACAAAGGTAGTTGTTGGTGCAGTCAACCATACCATATGTTGTTTTAACCCGTATGACTAGTGGGCTTACTGGATGTACCGTAATTAATTGTTATACTGAGCGTTACGTCAAAGTTAGGGACCATTCCTTAATAATCTAGTTTTGGATCAAGGGAGAATACATTTATGAAAAATGTTCCCGGCGCTTGTTTTGAGGAAATAGGGTAGTTGTCATCGTTCGTGTCACTAATTAGACGACATTGTGATGTAACTGATCATATCAAATTGTACATACTAACGTTACCATGAATTGTCAGTTTTCATGTTACTGACAAGAGGTCATTAGGCACACATCATACAGTCAACCAGATCTGACGTCAGGACTGACTGACTCTTGTTTTGCTTTTAGCAATATTCCAGCAATATCACGGCGGACCCGACGTCAGGAATACTAGCTCCGACTATATGACGGCGGTCTGTAAAGGAACGCGTCTGGGACAGACATTCAAATGATTGACATCATGAGCACCAGTTTCCGTACTTTCTATTTCAGTGTAATTGAGTAAGCTTCAGTAAAAGGAATCTTCAAAGGACTTTGTTGAAGATGTCTGTGGTATGTGTTGCGCCAAACAGACTGAAGAATCATTCAGTCCCAATAGTGTGTAGAATCAGCATTATTTATATGCCGTTAACTGATTAAGCTGAAGGGCATAGCAACCGACCATCTGGGCAGGGGTTGCGGGAACTAGGATTTTGTCGGAAATATTTATTTGTTGCACAAAATCTGATTAGAAAGACGTAGTATATACTCAGATGTTAACCAAAACACAAATTGTAGCACTCGCGGCCTGAAAACATGCATAGATTAATGTGTTCACACACAAATATTGCATATATCCTGTCTGTAACGCAAACCCCAGTCTGTTCAAAACTGACTGCATTATATGTGTAAATTACGGGGGTTAATATTATCCATTTAGAACTATCATAACAACGTATATATGGAATTGATTTAAAACTTTTTTAATATTTACAACAAGACGTTTCTATGTCATTGAAATAAGTTGGAAAAATTCGTTGGAAGGAATTTAGAAATAAAATACTGAAACTGTAAACGTCTTTGAAATCAGTACGATCATAAAAGTGATGCGTGCGAACAAGAGAGACCTTGTCTAGACTGGTTCCCGTTCGTTTTAGCGACGGACTGGAACTTGGACAGCCCTGTAAATACCAGGAAACCAGTCGGATTTTTGGGTATTCTGCGCTAGCGATACACTCTTCGAAACAAAACGAGGGGACTGCAAACTGACATTTGTGACAAACTTGTGTTGTTCCGGGACAGCCGACTAGAGGTTACGGAAAGGGGCGAGTGGTGACGAACGCCTAACTGGTTCCAGCCTGGTTCCCAGTGTCTGCTGCGCTAACGCCGGGAGCCATGCTGAACTTGCCTGCGCAGTAAGAACGATACTAGTTCAGAAAGACGAAATCCCAGTTATGTGACCCGCATGTTTCTGTTATAAACAAGGAGGCGTGTCACATTTGGGTCACGAGAATATTCGTGCAATGCGGAAATACCTGGCCACGCTGTGTCCATTTCTGTAAACAAACAGCGTGAGTCAGTGAGTGAAAATATCTATTGCGAATTCGTTATTCCTAGTTGAAACATTTCACGGGTTCAGTAAACTATAGATACGTTTCTGTAATCGACGATGGCAGCCGAAAAGAGTGACAAGATAGGGGAGAAGAATGTCTTCCTGTCACCTGAATGTCCAGTAGAGAAGGTAACAGTGTATTCCGACAGGGCGGAAGTGTGTCGTCAAATCCACACCAGTGTCGTCAAAGGTGTCAATGAGATTGTCCTCAAACAACTGCCAGCGAGCATCGACTCGGATTCTATCAGGTGAGATTAATTCTTGCTTTCGACTGACTTTCCAACTAAAGCTATAGGAACAGTTAATTATCATTTTGAGTTTGGGAGTGAATTTTAAGATCACAATTTCATTTTTCTGTCTCACGTGTTTCTTCATCACAGTAATTTAACCACCTGTAACGGTTATTATGACGGCTTTTACAGGCATTGGCAGCAGGCATTGTGAAATAATGATATGCATGCATACATGCAACCATGGCAACATGCAACCATGGCAACATGTGAAACTAGTTAGAGTTGCTGTTAGTTACCACTACCAGAAAACTTAATCGAAATCTACTGATTTAAATGAATATATTTCACGTTATTTGTCACTCTATAGTGAGCTTTAGATCTGGCACATTTTTTAATGTCCAACTGTTATAATTTTTAACTCATATTGTATCACAATCATAACTTTATCATCATAATAGTGACATCAATGTAGAATTAGACCTTGAAAGAAGAGCTTGATATATATATATATGATATTTTTATTATTTAGTGTTCAGGTGTGTCCACTTCATATTGCAATTGGTTTTACCTCACACTTACCGGTATATGCATATGCAAGTGTAGTATAATTCTAATCATGGTGGAAAACCCATTGCTTGTGTATACCCTGTCAAATCATTTATCTCAACCGAAACCATTTCATTCAATATTATACCTGACACCAAAGGTTTTGTGTAATACTTCAACAAGTTTGATCATTAAATTATTATTGGCAAAGTCTAGATGTAAATTAGAATTATCAGAGATGCAGGCTACAAATAAAAGATAATATGGTGTAAGATTGCATGTGTTTGTGTTGTAGAGTTGAAGGAACAGGCCAGGCAACGATAGCCCGAGGTGACATTCCAGAGGAAGCACACTACACCAGATGAGGCCGACATTTCCAGCAAGGAGAAGGAGCTGGAGACGCAGATTGCCGACTTGAAGAAGGAGAAAGATCAAATTGAAGCAAGGCAGAATGTTATGAACAAACAATGGAAACTGCTGGAAAACTTCGGGAACACTGTGTCCAAGTCCACAAAAGTAAATAGTCCTGTATTAAAACACCTCAATAAACATTTTCATCCATAACTATACACAGTGTTGCACACTCCCCAAAATTTCGGCCAGACAAATGGTCTGGTAACTCTCAAAAGTTACCAGACCGGCTGGAAAGTTACCAGTCCAGAATTTTCAGCATTAAGATAAAATATAAAGGAGGTAAATAGGAGGAGGGAACTGTTTAATGTCAGGTTATTGTCACAATAACACGTTTTTAAATGTTTTTAGTCATTATATACATTACAAAATTACGCCGATTCAACAGCCAGACCATCGGGCTTGCAACTTTTAAAAACAGACCGTCCCGGACAATCGGGCAGGGGGGAGTTTGCAACGCTGCTATACATTACGCAAAAGTATTTCAGAGTGTGGCATTTAACAAAGAAAAACATATACCATTGTATATAAAATTGCATATGCATGACTGAGATCTGTGACGCCATCCCATCTGTGTAAGATTGTCTCAGTCGTGGTAGATTTAGAAAGGTGTTGTTACGTGGCACCATATATATGAAATGACATAGATTTCACATGTTGCCCACAATAATATGTAATGGCTAACTCCCTCTTCAACAAAGGTATCTGGTTGAGAGGTGTTGTTGATCAGCTGCGCCATTAAATGGCTAGATCCATATTGACCATGTTCACAAGGTTAAGGAGTATAAGACCTGCCCTGAAAACAGTAGAGGGAAATACAGTTATACACCTTTGCCATGTGACAAAATGCAATCAAGGTAAATAGTTGTACTACTGTTGAATGCAGTTTGTGTCTTGTGGAAGACTCTGCCAATGTTTAATTTTCAGTTAAAGTGTACTTTGTCTCAAATTTGATGTACTGTACAAAATTAGTATTTTTTGTTAATATGGTATTTGTATAACACAGATATATTGGTTGTGGGGGAAATCTATGAGATTTTTTACGAACTTCTCACCTTCACAACCTTTATCATCTCCGATAAATGATAATACGTAGAAGATATTATATGAGTGCCCATGTCATACTATGTTTGTGACACGGGTGCCTAAATGTTGGTATTTCCCGAGCGAGAGGGAGGGATATACCGATATTTGGCACCAGTGTCGTAATAATATATTCTATTTATTACCGAAGTTGTCAAATTGAGGAAAATAAACCCAAATCAACTTTCAAACATAGGCTGGCTACTCGGCATAGCCATATGTAGAACACAACATCATAGAAGAAACATGACTTCATAGCATTGTTCATGATGTCACGTCACCATGACAAAATGATACTTTTGCGCTTGGGCATTGTATGAAAAATATTAACCCTGATATTTTTGCCTTCTTAGGTAATAAAATTTTATTCACATATCCTGTAATAAGTGCCCCAGCTAATATTCTTTAGGAACAAGCTTCAAAACTGGCTGGTAATGGAGGCGTTTATTCCTGAACCCTGTATTCCAGAACAAGAGCACCAACCTGGACTCAGCCTACTTCCAAGGTGTGACAGACTTCCTCCAGATGTACAAGGACCAAGGCAGCCAACTGGAGACCACCAGGCTTGAGCTGGCAGAACAGATTGCCAAACTGGATAAAAAGATCGTAGCCGCCACCAACAACCTTTCAGAACTGAGAGCCAACAGAGGTCATCAAACAGAGTCAAGGTATGTTGGATTACTTGAGGTCAACTCAACAGTTTTGTGATTGGCGATGTGTCTTGTTGAGCGCAAAATTTTGATATTTACATGTTGAATTATTGATGTATCATGGTGTTATTTACAGTGGAAGAGATGTTTCATTTACTTATTCTTCTTTAACCTTGTGTAGCATTTCTCATCAAATATTCCAGAAATGTCCAGATGAGATACAAAACGTGGTGGATATGTTTTTGTGTTTTTTTTATCACTATTTATAACACCTCCTTGACTATTGATCAGTTATTTCAGACAGCTTCAGGTGTTATTCAGTCTAAGTAAACATAGGCTCAATATTATTCGTTACACTGCTTTACTGAGTCTAACAAACCCCAGTAGAAGGTTGCGTAAGCTAACTTTTGAGCGACCTATGAATGTCCAATCAAACGCAAAATGTCCGAACGGATTAAACCATTAAATGTGCAAATGTTAACTTTCGTTATCTGACGCGACCTTCTACTAGGGCTGGGACGATACATTATGTCACGATACGATACATGTTGCGATATTTTACCTGCGATACGATACGTATCATGGTATATACACCTTGAAAGAATGACACAGTATTAAGATTTAAAATGATTTAATTCAAGGTATTTGTGCATAACAGTAACACCCTTGAAATAAACAAACAAGTAACTCTGTCATTATACTTGTGTACTTTTCTCTAGAGAAGTACTTTAACATGTTTAAGATAATACTGTTTTGAAAAAACTCGTGTATTGTTTTGTATCGATACACGAGTCGACGATACGATAGATGTATCAAACTTAAATGTATCGCGATGTCCCAGTCCTACCTTCTACTGGGGTTTGTTAGACTCAGTATAGCAGTGTAACAAATAATGCTGAGCCTATGTTTACTTAGACTGGGTGTTATTGTACTCACATGCTTAGACAAAACCTTTAGTCAGGTGAACTATATTGCATTGCCACCATCATATTTAAATATGAAATGAAATAGAAGCTACTTGTGAGTGCCTGAGTATGTTTTGATTCCACTGTAGACAATATTCTGGCAATTTGACACCAGGTGACTCCAGACATGGGCTCCACACACTGTACCAATGTCAAACCTCTGTGGTTAGTATTTGGTGGTTATTTTTCCAGAGAATGCACCATTGTGCTGGAGAGTGAGGGTGAACACAAGGTGTCCCTACTGGTGTCTTATGTGGTATCCCAGGCATCCTGGACACCCAGCTATGACCTGCGCATGTTCACTGCTGAAGGTGTCCTTAAGGTGAGCTAATTATTTCAATTGCCTTCAATGTCATGCTAACAGATGACATCATAATGGTCTGCAAGGCATTGTGATGCTGTTCATTGATCTGAATCATAGATGCCCTGCGGTGGGTCACTTGGGTTAGACCCGTGAAGATCCGAGTTAGAACTGGTCTTCAGTAACCCATGCTTGTCGTATAAAGAGGCAACTAACGGCATTGGGTCCCTGACTTGGTTGACACGTCATCGTATCCCAATTGCATAGAACGATGCTTATGATATTGATCACTAGATTGTCTGGTCCATACTTGATTATTTACAGACCACCGCCATACAGCTGGAATAATGCTGAGTGCGGCGTTAAACAACGAACCAACCAACCAAATCACTTGGGTTTGGTAGTCTATATATCATTATAGAATATAGGTAGCATACCTTGGATTATGGAGAACATTCCTGTTTCAGATCATGTACTATGGACAGATAACTCAGACAACTGGCGAGGACTGGACAGATGCTAAGTTGTTCCTATCAACTGCCAGTCCCAGTGTCGGAGGTTCGGTACCACTATTGGGCACTGCCGTGCTCAGTATCGAGAGGGGGTTCAGACATGGCAGAAGGTATGATCACAGTTTCTAATGCCTCACCATTTAGCTCACCTGACTGAAGGATAGCTCTCTTATCCCGTGAATTCTTTCTTTGATAACTACGAGGTCAGTGGTGATGAAACTTTGCTAAGGTAATTTTAAGCCATGATGTTATTTTTTGTGTCTGTGTCCTGGGGTCTAGAGAATAGATTGAAAATCAAGGAAATCAAGTCAAGAATGATTAGGCAAGTCAAGATGTCTGCAGCTCTTGCTTAAAATATATGGTTCTTCTTGCCTCCCTTTTGATATTTATTTGTTTTCTTTTATGAAGTTTATATATATTGAAATAAGGTATCTAACTCTAGGACTAAATGCCAGTCTATTTTGGCTGATGTATTTTGACATTTGATCTGTAAAATTGTGGTATGCACAGCAACAAATAGTATGAATAACTTGATGTAGCTGTATGTTTTCTTGAGACAAATCATCTTCACTACCACCATTACTCCAGACATTTTGTACATGGAAGTCCATGAAGGTCCTATTTTGTTCATGGGCGCATAAAATCATCTCTGAATGTTACACTTAGACACAGTATAGACATACCTGTCAAACTGTAGCAAATAAACTAAACTAATGGTTCAACTCACATTAATTAATCCTAGACTCTGGCTGAGAAATCACTAGTCTCTGTCGAACTATGATATCACTAGACTGTGGCTATCAAAGACCTCACTAGTAGTATACACAATGGTGGAACGGGACTAGGTCCTTATCCAAGGCATAATTTTTCAAATTAAGCCTTGGATAAGTCCCCCTAATCCCGTTCCACCAATGTGTATACTACTACTGAGGTGCAAGCAAAATTTGATGAAAATTGGTCGAATAGTTTCTGAAATATTGAGCATGGGGTCGGTTGGGAAAAAGGCTCGGGTCGCCTCGGGGATGGTTGCTCCTCTGAGCTCTTGGCTCGGTGTACGGGTTGCTGGCTTGCTACTTTAAGCAGAAAAATAGGCATGCAAGACGAATAAAAAATCATGACGAGAAACTATCATCACACGCTGGGTGATGTGTAAGGGACTGTGTTGTGAGGTACGATCATCATCTCCTCTCTGACGAATGCTCTCGGCGGCCCGTCTTTTAAGTAGTACACGTTCAGGTTGCCTTCTTTGATGTCAACCAGGTCGATGTTGTACATTTTCATGGACCATATCTGATCGGTGGTGCGTTTTCTGCTGTCTCCCTCGTATTTGCCCGGCTGGTATAAGTACCTAACGCTGACATGGTCTGGTAATGTTTTCTCTGTTTTATCGCGACGTGCCGCTGCCGACGAGGATTCGACAGATTTCATTTTGATGGCTTCGACAGGTCTAGGGTGCGATTGAATTTCTCAACGATGGCTTGGCTACGGTGAGCTCCTGCTATACCTCGTCTCACCTGGACTTTGTGCTTGGCCAGCAGTTGTGACACGGCTCCCATGAACTCGCGTCCGGGATCGACTTGCAATACGGCAGGCCAGGTCAAGCGACTGCGTTTGTATATGCGTTCAAAGGCTTTGGCGACTTCATTCAAATCTTTGGTCGTCAACGGTTCGGTTTCCTTGTAGCGACTGGCGACGTCGACAACTGTCAGGGCGTTCTTGTAGGTTTAACGCCTAACCCTGTCGTGAGGGAGAAACAGGAGGTCGGCTTGATGAACGTGATTCAGCGTTGAAATGTCAAATACGTCCTGTACTTTGTTATGTAATAAAGTTTCTCCATGATGTATGTACGCATGTGTGCATGAGTGATCAATTATTCGATACGCCTTTGTGCCCGTACGGATAAGTGGTGCCTCCGTCGATGGCGATCCATCGTTTCGTGTCCATGGGAGACAGTGAAGTCTTGTTGATTCTCAGTCCGTACATCCTGTGTCCTTCGCTTCTCAGCATGTTCATTTGGTGTTTGAACGTTTTATTCTTGAACAGGGCTTCCTTGAATCTGGCGTGTTTGATGTGTTTCTTCACCACGTGTTTTTTCACGCCTTTCGGATTTCGAAGCCGACGTACTTGGCGATCGGCGTGCCCGCGCAATCGTCCTTCATCTTGCCGAGCACTTTTTTGTTGACTTGGCTGTGCATAGGGTGATCTTTGGGGTAGTCGATGGTGTCGTACAGGTACATGTGTTTCTTAATGTCCTTATACATGTCCTCGGTGTGAATTTCCATCAGCAGGGAATCCGTGTCTGTGTACAGCACTTCGCACCTGTCGCCGTACTATTTCTTCGAATATTTCGCTCCGGTTGAACGCCCTTCCTTTGAGTTTTTCTTCATCACTGGATCTGACCAGCTTCACGTTAACGCATTTTCTCAAATTCTCCATCGTCTTGCCGAACACCGAGTTGTTCATGAGTTTGTACAGGTTTTTATCGAAATCGCTGGTGACCAGCTTTCGCAAGTCCGTGTTCATTCGGATGTAAGGCTCCATCCAAGGACTTTGATCGCACTTGAGCGCCCTGTGTATTTTCGTGAGTTCCATTCCCAGCGACGTGTACAGCTGCAGGTTGCGATAGTGAACGATGGCCTGCATGATCAAGTGGGAATCGTACCTATGAAGGTTGTGAACACGACGGGGATTTTGATGGTGTTGGGATCGATTTTGAGCTTCAGGTTGCACACGTTGTGAGCGGCACCTCTGTACTTGCCACTGATGTGGCAGTGATCTCTCACGACATCCCCATTCAGGGGTTGGTCGCACATGTGGCAATTCTTAGCTTTCTTATGAGGTCGCCAGTCGTCTTGGGTCATGCGCATGGGGACGACGGTGTACAGCTTTTTCCTGATGATTTTCTCTTCGTTTTGCAAACACGTGAGAAAGCATTCGGCGGCGTCGGGACCTCGGTAGACCACAGCAGCGTTTGTTTGTCCGTCGCATCGAACGACCACGTAACCAAACCCGCAGGCTTCGTGCTCTTGCGTTTTGTGCATGAAACTTTTGCCTAGGGACGGAGCGACGGTGTCGACGGTTTTGTTGAGGGCTTCGAAGTCGGCGTAGATGATGTAAGGCACGGACATTTGATGCTTGTGGTTGACGAATTTCAAGACGTCGTTTTTGTCGGGCATGTCGATTCGGATGTCCGTTTGTCCAACGCCTCAACAATCCTCACGGTGCGATTCCAGCAGGTCTGCTCACGTGAAGCCATGGAGGCACCGTTCGCAAAAGTGTTTTTTCCCAGCATGCTTCGATTGATCGTACAACAGTCTGCTGAGACTTTTAATTGTCGCGTGGTGATACTTGTCCTCTTTTTTCGACCAGAAATAAATTGATCCTTCACACGGTTTTATCTAGGTCGGTGCTTATCCTGTGCACAATAGTTGTGTTCCCTTCGTGTCCCGAAGACGTTAATAGCCAGAGGGTGTTGTTTTTCCACTCGAGCGATTTGTGAGATGGGAGTAGGCATGTCTATCCCCGTAAAGTCGAGGCCGGATTCCTCAATGGAGGGATAGGTGGAAAGTCTGTCTAGATGATGGGTAACCAGATGCAAGTCAGCTATGATCATCGTCGCCTTTGTTTTTGGCATTGACCGTGGCTTTTTTTTTCTTGTAGTACGGTGGCAGGTCCAGGTACGACCCTCCTTTGAACAGCACGTAGTTTGCTACGTTTGATTGTTCAGTTCCTCGCCGACTTTGTTGTCGACCGGCGGTTTGATGTCGTCGACTTCCATGTTTTTGTCGACGTCCAGCCTACAGGCTCTCAGATACTTACCTACGGCGTGCTTGGTCGGCACGAATTTTGAGTTTCGCTATGTTCAGAAGCGAAGTCAAATCTCTAATAGGGTTTTTCACATGTGAAGTCAAATCTCTAATAGGATTTTCATTGCTATGTTCGGCTGCGAGTCAAAATCTCTAGTAGTTTGTTTGGTGTGTGAAGTATCGCTGTTAAATGTTAGCAACCCTGTCAATACGTTGGCTAGTTAAAGTTTCGACCGACTTAAAAAAATATAAAAAAGCGATTTTCGTGATGCACGTTAGATTTTTATTCCCAGCGGTTGCGTTCATTGAGGTAGTCTCTTTTCGTCAAGTAGATGAGATGGCCTCGGACCACGTCCGCGCCGTGGGCTTTGCAACGACGATGATGGCATTTCACACCCACGCTGCACATTTCGCACATGTAGTTGACGAAACCCTTTCGGATGGACATCATGTGAATGCCACAATAGTCGGTGGTGCATTTCCTGTTGCAGGTCTCGGTTTTGCCAAGAAGCACGTACTTGCAGTTAAAAGGTGCTTGTCGTCCCATGTTTTTTTCTTTTTTATGTATACACACATAAATATGTTCTAGTCTAATTGTTTGGCGACGAACAGGGTCGCGGTCAAACCTAATGCCACAAAGATCAGCTCCCAGTCTTTCTGTGCCTTGGAAGGCGTGTAATACTGAGATAGCATGGGTGCGTCGCCGAAAGGTTCGAGCCGGTAAGCCCGTAGTATTCTCGCATGGCGTCGTCGATGTTCTTGAACGTTCTCACGGCATGGTTTTCGCCCGCGAGTTGGGCGTTGATGTAATCGATTCTCTGCACTCGTTTTTTGGCGTACTTGGCTTGCGCGGCCTGCAGTTTCTCCACGACTACAAGGGGGAGCGGTGGGCGAGCTGGCTAAGGCGCCAGGCTAGTGATCCAGCGAGGTTGAGGTGCTGGGATCGAGCCCACCTGCGACTGGGTGTAAAAACCTTGGAGTCAACTTTGTGTGCAGACTCTTTCAGTGTTGTCACAACCCCTAGTGTACAGTACACAACCCTGTGCAGTTAAAAGAACCCACGAATCCGTTGGTATATGGCCAGATGGTGGTCACATGAATACGTGCAAACACCTAGTTGCAGGTACAGTTGCGTGCAGTAAAGTTGGACAAAGTACTGTGACTATGTGTCCCAGTCCACCCAACTGTGAATGGGTACCTCGTTAGGATGAGAAAGCCACAATAACTCTGTGCGCCTAGTGCCAGCAAGAGTTGTATACTCCCCAGGAAGTTGAGAATAATAATACGATGTGCCATTAAGATTG